TCTTATTTTATGTAGTATCAATAAAAATAATTATTATTTTATTACCTGGCAATCCGCAATGAAAATTGCACTTTACCAAAGCACTTAAAAAATGTATCTGTAATTGCGTACTTCGAAAATTATGAGCAAGTGCTACTACGATACATTTTATAACTAATATTGCAATCCAATAAAAATTTTTTAAATACGTGTTATCTACAGACTCCCAATTAACAATTTTCTAAAAATATCAAATATTATTAATCATTCAATCGTACTTTTAATTTTAATAAAAATATAAAATATATGCGTACACTGCATATAAGCATCGATGATCGTGTTTGAAAGTCTTTCAAGTATTGTTGGCATTCTTTAAATTCGCCATAATTTGTACATCGTACAAGGAATTCGAAAAATGAATTTAATATGTTGTCCTAAAATATTTAATAATATTTTAATTATAATATTAAAAAAAAATAATAATTATTATTAATAAAAAATGCGAGCTTACAGGCATGAAAATTTGGAATCCTCTGTTTAATGTACAAACATATCCAGATGATACTAATCTTGGTATCAATTCTAATACTTTGTTAGCTGGCCACATTACTTGATCTAAGCATTCTACATAATCAAATAGAATACTTTTATTTGCCGTAGATATTACCATCCAGGAATAACAATAGGAAGTAGTTAACGATGGCTAAAATAAATTTCTTTAGCAAATTTATTTAATAAAGTAAAATATTCGAATGTTGTTTACTATACCTCATAGCAAGTTGCCAAAATAATTAATATAGGTCTTAAAGTTATACGAGATACATGTAATAATGCACTGGGTGGATCATGACTGTGATGACACTTTAAAATTGTCATCCACAAGTCATCGTCAGAAGAAAATATATTTTCAGGTAGAGACATTTTTTCTGAAGCCGACGAGTACGTGTCACTGCTGCTGCTTTCCGTTAACGAAGATGATGCACTGGAAGATGTTGATTCCTACACAAAAATATTGATTATATGTTATATTACAATATTATTTAATGATATATATTAAGTATTTTGAAATATTATTCAATTTGTTTACATTTTGTCTTAATCCAATCTTGCAATATAAAAATTGTCTTACATCCCTAGATTTCAATTTGATTTCATATTTGGGATGTGACAAAAGATTTGTAGATTCTGTATTAAAACAAGTTAACAAATGTTCACGTATATTAACATTTCGAAATTCTTTTGCAAGCATTAAAATCTGTAAAATTAAGAGGACAATTATTTATAGTAAATTCTTTGTTGATCACAAGGATAGGTTTAGTTTAAAGGTATTTGAAGTACATACTTGTGACGTAGGATAAGTAAAAATGTGTCCAACTAAAACAAACTCAAACCATAAATCTTTCTGAGCTAAGTACTTTAAAAGAGTATCTGGTAAAGATGAATCGTGAGTTCGTGCAAATTGTATTATAAATTCCCAGATTCTTAGTGCATCGAAGAAGAGAGTATCTTCGTTGATTGTATTGTCATTTAGATAGGATTGAAAACTTTTTTCTAAGTATACCATTATAGTTTCTAAGTTAACTTGATTTTTGAACATAATAGATTCTAATAAGGGACCTGCAACATTATAAAAATACTTTAGATTATAAAATTATTTATATACTTTTATTAAATAAAAGAAAAGTAGTATTACCAATAGATATATTAAGATGTTTCTGAACGTAATCAGCTGCAGTGATATGTAATCTTAAAATTTCTGAATTGATTCCTATCATTTCGAGAAAGGAAATACAACTACAGACTAGTTCAGAATTATGTAAATTTTTTAAAGCTAAACAATGAGCATAAAAAGCAGCTTTACACTTCCTGAAACAATTAAAACTCACTGTTAGATTAAATACAAATTTTGAAATATAATACTGAAATATTAAAGGACAAAAATAACTCACATTCTAGAAGAAATATTTTTAAAAGGTTTTCCTTGTGTATTTTGAAGTGTATAGAAAGCCATGTTAGGTCTTCCTTCTTTCAAATAATAAGCATATGTTAACGTTTCCTTGTATCCATATCTTTTAACTAAACTTTCATTTGAAAAATTTGGCATTGGTTCATTATTGTATCTCCATTTAAAAAATTGTTTAGCAGTAAATCTTTGATAACCATCTAACAGTTCATACACAGTTATATCATTTTTCTTTGATTCATTTAGAATAATGCGGTGTATTATTGGTATATTATTTAGCGTATTGCAAAGGATTTCATATGGCACGATATTAGCACCTATTTGTAATCCATGTTCATTATTAAACATATTTTTGAAATTGTCGTTAAGTTCAACATTTTCATTTACAGAACATAATGCATTATCTATCTTGCAATATTGTAAAAATACTAATGCAAAAGTTATTAAATAATTGTCTTTTAAAAAGTCAGTAAAATTATCAGATATATAATGAATATTTTGAAATATTGCATCGGTCACTGTATCTAAAATATTACATTGCGGATCACGCATTTTAGTTAGAGTATTAAATAAATTCTTTCCTTTTGACATTATCTCTACGGAATGATTCTGTTGTGCGAGATAATAATTTATATTAATATTTTCCAAAAATTCATTTTTATTAATATTGCAACTTTCATAAGATAATATTTCTTCAAAATCTTTTAATGTCAATTGACTACTGAATATCCTTGCTAATGTTAACTTTAAATTATCTTGTTCAGTTTTAGTAAATATTCCATATTTGCACAAATGATTTTTTGTTAGTTCTTTTATAAGCTTATTAGCATCCGACAGATCAATTTGTTCGATCATTTCAGGAGTGATAGTCAAATTATCGACCAATTTTTGAAAATTTTCATTGATCTCATACGCTTCTGTAATTATTGCATTATTACTGTATCTTTTATCGATCCAATATTTAATAATATCAATTTTATTATATAACAACAAGCAATTCCAGACGACACTATTAATCGTATTTCTTATTAACTTTGGTTCGAATAATTGAATATACAATTCTGTACACAATGCTTGTTTAATATTGTCAGGTAAATTTATTATATCTTCTATGCATATCGTATTACTAAATACATTTTCAAGCCTATGAAAAATGAATATAATATTTCAATGAGCATAAATGTAATATGTTTCATTCAATAATTTGAAATACTTACATATTATTTTTTTCATACTGTAAAATACTTTGTATAATATCCCATGCTTCTTTCTGCGTCTCATTGAAACCATTAACATTAATCATATAATCACATAAATATTCTCTTAAAAAGGGTTCCGCAGTTTTAATACAAACTTCAAATATATGTTGTGTAGGATCCTTTCCCTAAAAAATCATTGATGAACATTAAATTGTTTATCATTATGTGTTTGTTATCGGTGTTGCATATTTAAAAAGTATGTACAATAATTTAATACATACTATATTTTTTAAAATGTGAGAAGCTCGATGCACTTGACATTTGTTTATTAATTCTCTAATCCAGAGTTCTACTTCTTCGTTAAAATAAACTTTAGCTTTGTCGATGGTACAATTTTTCCTATATGCCAAATATTTGTAAGCTAAATTAATATAAGTCCCTTTAGCAGAAGCTTCTCTTACAACTTCTCGGTCACCCAGTATACGCCAACCAGACCATATAGCAGCAGATTCACCAGTCAAACATTGAACTGGTATTCCACCAACAGTTTGCTTTTCAGACATTGTAGATTTGTTATATTTTTTACAAAGAACTTTAAATATGATATTGTGACAAAATTTAAATCACCTGTAACAATGAAAATATAATCAATTAAATTAAGTTTTATAAATATATAATTTAATTTTAACAAAAATCTAGTTAAATAAAATAAATACTTACATGTTTAGAGGATGATAATAACCAAATTTGATGAGAATTGGTGGTGTCAAGGCACAACATGAAAGAAATGACAGCAAATGACCCATATGTTGGTGTAGAATAACAAATGAGATTAGGATAATAATCTCGACTTTGATTGTTTGTGTGTGGTTGTTTTATTAAACTAATATTTCACATACCTAAATAATGCGTAATAATGTTTCATAGTACAAACAGAGAACACGTATCTAACATAGAGAGAAATGCATACACTGTAATGGTGCGTTTTGTCATTATGAATGAGAAAAAATTAACAGCTGATCTTTATATACAAAACTTTGACACATTCTTTACGTTTACTTGTTTTTCATTCATGATATATATCATATGATCATTTCATTCTTAGAATTAGTATAGTATTTTATAATTTCAAAATTTTCTAACAGATGTCATATGTGTTCTTCGATAATCGAATCGAATATCTCGAAAGATTTCGACCACCAATCAGCGAAGAGTAACATTGGAATGTTACGTTATTCGTGTGTTTGTTGTTAAAGAAGAAAAATTAATTATTTATATTGTTTAATTATTGTTTTTAGTGTTTATTATTGTAAGTATTTGTTTATAATTGTCTTTTTATACAAATTTTGACGAGATTTTGTTTTATTATTTATTTGAAAATTTGGAAATAATTGTAAACAAATAAAATTAGTATTATACTTGTAATTATGTTAAACTAACCAACAAATTTAAGAAATTTCATAATTGTAATATATATCTTTAATTATATTTTAATAATTTGATTTATTCAATTATTATGTCAATTAATTTGCACAAAGAATATTATATTTCATAATTTGTTTATTTATATATAATGCAATTATTAATTTCATATTATTTATGAATTTATGAATATATATATATATAGCTCATATATTTATATAAATTTATTTTCTAATTTTTAGTCTACATATAGTGTTTAATAATTTTTATAATATCTATAAATATGATCATACTAAAATAGTTTTATTTTTTTTTTAACAATTACTTTAATTGTTAACCCATATTTACATAATCAGCTTTCTTAAGAAATTTAGATATGCTATTGATGTTTTTAATATCTGAAAAAATAATTAAATTTGATAAAAAGAATTTAATGAAATATATTTTTTTAATTCTATTATTAATTATTAGATACTTACATTGCTGAAAGTAAGCAAAGATAAATCAGCCATTTTTCCTGCAGTTATCTTTACAGGATTATTAGATATTGCAATTATTAAAATTAATCCTGATGCTAGTTTTGGTGATAAACGATACCATTCAATTGTATAAAATCTTTCACCAACTTTACTTGTCTTTCATTAAATATAAAATACAAATATTAATTTATACAATGTATTTAATTACAATGATTAGTAATTTACCTTATTTGTTAAAGATTCTCCAATATAGCACAATATGAAAATATTAAAACTTAAGGAAATCAGTAATATGATATAAGTGAACAGACCAATCTTATTATTTTCTTCCCAATCCTGTATAAAAATAAAGAAAAATATCAATTGAAATAAAACATTTTAAAAGAATATTTGTATTTTATATTTTTGATGCACATAAACTAAAAGGATTAAATTTATTAATTGTAAATGTGAATATAAAATTTGAACAGAAGACATGAATAAATTTTAGAACATTTTTCAATGTAATCTAACATTTTCATTGCATAAATATAAACAGGGAGAGGAAGAAAATCATGAAAATTTCTTCTTAAAAATATTATAAATTAAGTGAATGATTTAAAAAATTATGCAATCATAATTTTACATCAATTTGCTTACCATAATGCAGTAATATTCCAATAAGCATATTAAAAAAGTAGAACCAGCAAATTCGATCAGAAAAACTTCTTGCAAAAGTTTTTCCAAACTAGCAATAAATCTGTATTATACATATATTTCAATTTATTTTCTTTTCTAATTAAAATCTCAAGAGAAAATAATTTCTAAATAAATACCGTAATACATGTAAGTGTCGTTTGATAATATCAGTTAATCGTTGACCGATAGAAATCTTAGAAAAATTATATTTTTGTCCATCAACAAGATCGTCAATCAATGTTATTAAAATTTCAATTTGTCCGCAAATGTGCATTGCAAAAATTGCTGCTAAACCACAAGCACCAGTTGTTACTGAATAAATCATGTATCCACACATGCAATGAGCGAGATAAACAAATTCATAAATAGGACTTTTTTGTACATCGTAAAGTACACTGTAGCTTGGATAAACCAATGGTTTTAATGTACGATTAGATAAATCTATCATACGTGGACTTGCAAATGGTAAAATCGTATGATAAATGACACCTCCTGAATACATGAAAATGGCGCAGGTCATCGTAAGATTTCGTCCAATCTTTGCATATTTTAACATTAATTCACGATGTATCTGATGTTTTACCTATCGCAACGTCGTCCAATTTCCTAACTTGTCAAATATAATTCAATTGTTATCCTTAATATATTTTCATTAAATTTAAAATATTTTTTTTTTTTTTATAGATAACGTGTCATTGTAATTGCAGATATATATTTCAGAACATTTACTATGTTATATTTAGATATTAAAAAAAAAAAAGTATTATATTAATAAATATAAAAATAATTGACTGACCTGATACCAATCAGTTTTTAAACATTCGATACATTGAACGATATCAGATCGGCGCATTGATAAAGCAAAATATTTGATCATCACACAAACGCAAAACATTAGAAGACCGAATAATTTTAATTTCGAATTAGTATCCTTTTCTTCGTAAATGATGTGCAAAGCGCAAGGTATTATTGCGAAACTTAATACAAGATTACCAGTAATTATACCAAAATTTAAAAGATAATTTTGAATTTTGTTTTCTCTATCAGGCCAAATTCCAATCGACGTGAGTACGAAACGACCATACTTTATCGCATATTCGATATCTTTGTCACGATTTTTTAACGATGTTATGTGTTTAGAAGATTTTTCCGAAGTATTTTTCATCCTTCTGATTGAAAGTTTAACGTTAGACTAATTTCAAATTGATTTGAAACTCTTACTTGTTGACGACGTACGATCGATTATTTTGATTCTCTTTTACTGCGCTTGCGTCTGCGTACGTTTGATATATAATTTTAAGTATGATTGCTTTTTCTTTTAGATTGAGTTATCTCTAATCACATGTCACATCGCTAATATATCTCATGGATTAGTTATGTGTGTGTGTGTTGTATATGTGAGAATTTATTTTGAATTGAATTCATACATTTATACTTGTTAATGATAATTATAGTAAGTAAATATAAATTAGATTAATAATAAATATTTAGTTAGGTATATCGAGCAATAATTTTTTAATTTTTATTTCATAAAATTGATTATATTAATGAAATTATATTTTTCATAATAAATTCTTTTTGAATAATTATTATTAATATTACTTTTAATAATCATTTTCATGACGATATGGTATTTTTATAAATCTAATCATATTTATATGTTTAATGTTTTATAAATTATATAGAATTTTAATATTAACAATTTAGATTATTTATAATTTAAATATTTACAAAATAATTGCATTATAGATTAAATAAATTATTTCTTTATTCAATTTTCTTTCAGTTAAATATAATTATATATATAATATTATTCATTTTAGATATTATTATAAACAATATTTGTACAATTGAGATCAAGTATTATTGGGATCGCCATATTGTCGGAGTAGAGTAGTTGTATGTTACAGGTTACACATGCGCAACCATACGCGCATATAGGCGGAGTTTTAAAGAGTTCAACGAATGGATAGATTAGGTTTATCAAGCATAGTAGAATTATTTAAACAAATTTATATACATATATATACATTTGTTTAAACTTAATCATTTTAATATATTTTTTTTTTTTGTAGATAAAAACATCGAAATTCGGCTGACAATGTAATCAAGCAAACACTCTAATCACTCATCAGTTCTCGCAGTTAGTATTATTGTTAATTGATAAAAAAAAAACAATTTAATAAATTGCATATAAATTTGTTTATCTAGGAATATTTACATTTAAATATTTAAATACGAAATGCTACTTGTTTTTCCTATATATATATATATATTTTAATCTGTGATAGTCCGAATTAAGTTGAGATAAATTACGGACGTTTTAAGAACCTGAAGTATATAAAAAATTAATAAAAAAAAAAAAAAAAAAAACTAAAAATACTTACTTTACCAAATGTAAAAAGAGATAATTCAAATAATTTTCCAGCGGTGATTTTTGGTGGATAATTTGAAATTGCTATTAATAAAATTAAACCAAGGCCAACGTTTTTAGGCAAACGATACCATTCCACATTGTATGTTGCTGCTCCAACTTTTTTGCACTGTTATTTTAAAATGTTCAATTTTTTTGATTGTTCGTCTCAAACAATTATTAATTATTAACTCCTTGGTATACAACAATATCTTGGATACACGTAATTATTTTTGTATACTTTTCAAAATTACTAAATTTTTATTTATAAAAATTCTACTTAATTAATTAATAATTTATTAATTTGTTAAATGATATTTACATATTTATATTATATTTAATAATTAAAATATTTCAATATTCTATTCTGTATTATAATTTTGAACAATTGTTTTTAGACAAATAAAATAATATTTGAAATATGTGTTACGAATTTCATTAAATTTGTATATCAAGGAGTTAAAAAAAAAAAAAAAACCCTATAAAGGAATTTAAAATAAAAAAAACCAACCTGTTCGACGAGCAATTCACCGATATAACAAAATATAAATATATTAAAAGTAAAAGAAATTAACAGTATGAAATAAGTCAGTGTTGCAATAGGATCGTTATTTTCCCATTCCTAAAAGTATAAATTATTTTCAATATAATTTTTTTTTTATCATCCATACATCATTCATCATTTTTACCGTCATACAATAATATTCGAGCAAACATATGATCAATGTTGATGCTACTAATTCCAACAAGCATACTTCTCGAAGAACTTTTTCAACTTGTACGGAAAACCTGAAAAAAATTGTGAACCATTTTTTATAACAAAATGAAACAATTTATTTCACAAATTTGTTTAACGATGCATTAATAGTTGAATTCTTTTTACGTATCGTTCAAAAAGGTGCACAGATTTATTACAAATATTTTCGTGAATTTAAAATGACAAAATCATTTATACAAATCGATTTACCTTAAAGTTTTGACGTGATCCCGAACGATAATAACAAGTCGATCATTTAATTCAATACCACTGCTTTCCCTACCTTCGACAAGATCACTAAGCCTTGTCATAACGATTTGTATTTGTCCACAAGCATGAGTAACAAAAGTAGCAGCCAAACAACAAGCAGCTGTAGTGATACTGTACATGACCATTGCACAAACGCAATGTAGAAAGAAAACAATTTCGTAAGTTGGACTAGCCTGTACGTCAAAGTACCTGTCGTATCCAGGATAAGTGAGTGGTCTTATTGTAAATGTTTCATTAATTTTGGTACTAGATGATAAGGTCATAACAGTATGATAAGACATTCCACCACTGAAAAGAAAAAGTGCGCAAAGAACGGTAAGATTTCTACCGAGTGTAGCATATTCGATCATAATCGTTCGATGATTCCGATCGCGCACCATTTTCCAATCATTTTCAACATGTTCGATGCAACGTCCAATAGCTTGTCCTTTTAATCCAAGATAACAATATTTGATGGTTGACGTTAAACAAAAACCGACAGGTCCGAAAAGTTTTAATTTTGCATTTATATTGTGTTCGTATAAAATTGTATAAAGACCGGCTGGTAATAAGACGAAACAAACTGTCGAAAAACACGTGACAGCTAATACAACCGATAAAATTTTTTCAGCACGCGACACATGTCCATAAATCATCGACCAAAGTCCAATTGGCTTTAACACGAATCGACAAAGACGTATCGCGTAACCTTTGTCATCCCTTTGCATGCTTTTTTCCATAACCTTAGAAAACAAAAAACTATTCAACGATTACTCAGTCTTATTCAGATCGATAGGATTGAGTTTGAATGACAGCAAGGGTTCAACTGAACGCGAGAGGATGATAAGAAGGGTTGTTCGATTTTAATCAAATGCGCAAGCGCGTCCACCCTTCAATGTTTCGCATTATATCAAAGGTATGTTAGTTTCTATCGAACGTATTTCTATTGCATGTACATATGTGTGTGTGTGTGTGTGATCAAACCTGTCTTTTGTCAGTCATTTAAATCAAAACGAATGTGCGAGCAACATGAAGGATCGTGTTTGAAGAAGTTCGTTTAATTCCTGTTAGTTTCATTTTTTAGTTATTAAAATTATTTAAAAATATCACGTAAGTTATTTTATCTTTTTATATACCATAAAAATTTATCTTGTAACATTTTTATCATATAAATATATATATATGTATATATATACATAAACAACTTTGAATTAATTTATAATTTATCATAGGATGAATACAAACTTGATGAATCGTATGTTAATTAAAAATGTGTATGATAAAAAATCGTATGTTGTCAAGTTGATTTTTTTCAGTTTTTTAATCTGTGATCGTTCGAATCAGGTTGAGATAAACGACGGAAGTTTTTAGTACCTGAAGATTCATTCATAAATAAAAAAAATAAGATATATTTTTGAATTGTTCGTACATTTTATGATTTGAATGTTTACTTACACTGCCAAATGTGAAAAGTGATAGTTCGAAGAATTTTCCAGCTGTTATCTTTGATGGACAATTCGAGATTGCTATTAATAGGATCAAATTTAGGCCAAGGTTTTTTGGTAAACGATACCATTCGATGTTGTACGATGCAACACCAACTTTTTTGCACTGTCGTTAAAATTTCAAAAGATTTCATTTTGTAAAATAATTTGTATAATTGAAAAATTATAAAAAGATATACCTGATCGACCAATAATTCACCAATATAACAAAATATAAATATGTTAAAAGTGAATGCAATTAACAGGATGACGTATGTTATAGTTGCAATCCGATCGTTGTTCTCCCATTCCTATAATAAGAAAATTGATGAAATATTGTTTATCTCTAATGTAAAATGTTTTATTATTGTTTACCGTTATACAATAATATTCCAGCAAGCAAATGATCAATGTGGATGCTACCACTTCTAACAAGCATACTTCACGAAGTACCTTTTCAACTTCTGCACAAAATCTGCAACAATTGTTTGTTTCCATGAACTAAACAATATAATAAATTTTTTTTTTTTAATGTAAATATGAAGGAGAAAAAAAGAAAATAATAAATAGTATGTAAACACTTTCACGAATCTTGTAGAAATTGTTAATTGAGGACAATATTTTAATTTGAAAAACAATCACAAAGAATAATATAATTTCAAGTAGCAAATTGTGTAACAAAAATCATATATTATATTAAAAAATTATTTTTAGATAGATAGATAGATAGATATGATAAAGTAATAATTTAAAAAATATTTGTAAACTTTAAATCCTCAGTTAAAAATTTCACTCATCAACATCGTCAGTAAGAAACAAGAACAATGTTAAAAAAAAATAAGATTGCAATTTACCTTAAAGTTCTGACATGATCTCTCACAAGTATAGCCATACGATCACTCAATCCGACATCACTTTCCTTTCCTTCAATAAGATCACTCAATCTAAACATGACAATTTGTATTTGACCACAAGCATGTGTAACAAAAGTAGCAGCAAGACTGCATCCAGCAGTTGTAATATTATGCATAACTATGCCACAAATGCAATGTAGAAAAAAAATAATCTCATAAGTTGGACTAGCTTGAACATCAAAGTAAATGTCGTATCCTGGATAAGTTAATGGCCTGATGGTGACAGTTTCATTGATTTTTTTAGTCATGGAAAGTGTCATGATCGTGTGATATGACATTCCACCACTGTGAAGAAATATCGCGCATAGTATAGTCAAATTTCTACCAATTGTAGCATACTTTTTCATGATAGTACGATTATTTTGATCAATCATTGTTTCCCAATCATTTTCAACATGAGCTATACAACGACCAATTGATTTTCTTTTAAATCCAAGGTAACAATATTTGATGGTTGACGTTAAACAAAAACCAAGTGGTCCGAATGATTTTAATTTGATGTTAATGTTGTTTTCATAATACAGTATGTAAATACTGAATGGTATTAAAACGAAACAAACAACTGATAAATTGATGACAGCTAAAATAGTTGATACAATTCTTTCAGTAAGTGATGCACGTCCATAAATCATTGGCCAAAGTCCGATTGGTTTTAATACATAACGACAAGTTGTTATAGCGTAATCCTTGTCGTCCACTTCTAACTTTTTCTCCATTCGTTTAATAGGGAACGAAAGGAAGGAAGAAAGAAAACAAAATTAAACAACACAAGAAGAAGAGAAGAAGTTATGTTACACACGATCGATATCAGAGAGGAACGTTGTCAATACCGTTCGAGAGCTTAAGCTTGACTGACCGCTTACGTTGGAACTTTAGTTCGAGGAGATTGATTCAAAAAAAAGGAATTCATAGTTTTATATTCATGAGCTTAAGCGCAAGCGCGTGTGTTTTTTTTTACCACCCTTCCAGTATCAGATATATTTTGCTACGAGTTAGTTATTCGATCGGTAATGTCAACGCGTCACACAGTTGATTAATTTTATTTTCGATATTTTAACTAGTTACTGTGTGACGATTAATTTTGATTTTAATTTGTTCTCTCTTTAAGATTTTTGATTCGTGTATTTTAGATTGTAATGTAAGAAGAAAAAAGAAACGTTATTTTTGTAATTGTATTTTTCATTTCTTTTTTTTCACAAGTATATTCGGTGCGTGTTTAATTTGTGCATTTGATATTGCAAGATATTAAAAAAATAATTTTACAAAAAGAAATACAAAGTTGTTGCAATGGTTTCATTGTTTTTTTGTTTTTTTTTGCTAATTAGAACCTTTGTGGTATTTCTTTTTTTTTTTTTATATTCGGTGATCCTTTGAGGTATTTTTGTTAATATGTAAAAAAGGAGTTTAGAATTTGTAAAATGTTTGTATTATAATTGTTACAACAACATTTTTTTTTACACATTTTATATCATACGCACGTTTTCGGATATTCAAAAAAAAAAACAAAACAAACAAAAAATTAAATACCAACATAATTTTTTTTTTAATTATTATTTTTACAGATTAAAAACTACGACGTTTATTTTATATTTGGATGTTTGTAACATTCGTAATTTCATTCTGCTACCGCTTGAATCAAGTTCAGATAAACTACCGATGATTTTAAAACCTGCAACATTTTTATTCTTTTTTCTTTTATCCAATCAATAAACAAATTGTTTTAGAATAAACATGAGATATTTTTAATTGAAACATTTATTATTTGAAATAAATTTGAGTACTCACACGACCGAATGTTGACAAAGATAACTCGAAAATCTTTCCAGCGGTAATTTTAGGTGGATAATTTGCAATAGCAATCAACAAAACAAGATCTAATCCTTTATTGTCAGATAAACGATACCATTCAACGTTGTAGGATGCTGCACCAATTTTTCTGCACTGTTAGCGTTCAACGCTTAGAACCTAAAGTTTTTATTACATAATAAAAAAAAAAAAAAAATATAAAGAAATGAATAAACTGCAGGTGAAAATACCTGATCAACTAGCAGCTCACCGATGTAACAGAATATAAAAATATTAAACGTGAAAGAAATTAAAAGTATAAGATACGTTAGAATTGCAACGGTGTCATTATTATTCCATTCCTAGAAAAAAAAATAAAATCAATTTTTACAATTTTTAACAATATAATAAGTAAACAAAATTTTATTAATAATTACCGTCATGCAATAATATTGAAGAAGACAAATAATCAACGTCGATGCAACTAATTCCATCAGACAAACTTCTCGCAAAACTTTTTCAACTTGTTTAGAAAATCTATAAATATTATTTTGTTTCAATGAAAATTAATTTTCAAAAATTATTATTTTGTTCGTTGATAATTGCATTTATCAGAGTAGAAAAATATAAACATTAAATTTTTAGTATTCTAAGAAATAATAATTATTTAAAAATATATAATATTACTTTTTCTTTAACTTGCATTTATCAGATTAAGATATAATAAAAATTCAATATTTATTTGAAATATATAAATCACAAATATCTTACCTAAGTACTTTGACATGATCCCGAATAATAATAGCCATTCTATCAGCGACCAAAGTATTTTTACTTGTTTTACCATCAACGAGATCATCCAATCTAGCTAAGATAATTTGTACTTGACCACAAATATGGCTAACAAAAGTGGCTGCCAAGCTACAGGTAGCTGTGGTAATATTGTAAGTGATCAAAGCATATACACAATGAGTAAAAAAAATGATCTCGTAAGTTGGACTAAGTTGGGATTCAACAAATTTATCGTATCCAGGATAAGTCAAAGGTCTTATCGTATGATTTTCATCAATCCTTTGACGCGAGAACAACGGCATTATTGTATGATAAGACATACCACCACTGTAGAGAAAAATGGCACATAGTATGGTAAGATTACGACCTACCGTAGCATGTTTCATCATAATCCTTCGATAATTTTGATCCTTAACGCATTTCCAATCTTTTTCCATATAATATATGCACCGACCAATGGCGGTTCCTTTGATACCAAGATAACAATATTTGATAGTTGACGTTAGACAAAAACCAACCGGTCCGAATAATTTCAATTTAATATTAATATTTTGTTCGTAGATCAATGTATGCAATCCGGATGGTATCAGGACGAAACACAGACATGTAAAACATGTGATACCAAGAAAAATCGATACAATGATTTCTTTTTTCGTAGCACCTGGATATATCAATGGCCAAATACCGATTGGTTTAAGAGCCCAACGACAAAATTGTAACGCGTATTTAATATCCTTTTGATAATGAATATTTTCTATTTCTATTTCACGGTTGATGTTTAATCGATCGTGCATTATGACGGTTTGCGTGCACGAGACCGACTGAAAGTCACTTATGGGAAAAATGTCTCACATCTCTTTGCTACCACAACTTTGTTAAAAGACGCGCAAGCGCAATTATTGCATTTACCTTTTCACGTTCCTCACATTTTTTACTCGATCATGCGAATAGAGGAAGAACTATGTATGTATGTGTATGTGTATGTGGATAAGTTATTATCGTGTAAGTGGGTAAATGGGAGGATATAAAAGGGAAGAACTTTTCTATTGTGATGTGGGGGTTGAAAAGTGGAAATAACTTGTACCAGGGAATCATCCTGGATTACTTTCTAGAAATTTACTCGGTGAATGGAGTTTAAGTATTTGTATGCGTGTATGTAACTCTTCTATGGATTAAACTTTTTTTCTTTCTTTCCTTCTTTCAGATCTAAGTCATCGAATAGATGATGTCAGTTTGAAAGTTATGAATGAAAATACTTTCATATATATGTACCTTAGTAACGATTTATGTTTGTACTTTTTATGGAATAATGATTTATTGAAAATCATTTATTATTTTTCTTTTCTTTTTTTTTTTTGTATCTGTGCAATCTATGAAATAATTAACAATTTTTAAATATAAGAATAATAATCTTATATTACAATAATAAAATATTCAGGATAACCGGGAAATGACTGTTCGTAGCATATTTAAATACGTGACCGATGCTTTGATCACCTGTAAGTAATTATAAAATTTTTTTTTATTTATAATATAATTAAATTTAATAGAATTGTATCGGTTTTATAATGATTTGGAATATTTGTTTAACTTACGTCACCAAAACTGGATAAAGATAATTCAATAAATTTTCCAGCAGAAAATCTTCCGGATGATGCGGCCATCGATATTATTAATTTCAAGGCCAAACCTTCCTTTCCAGGTAATCTGTACCAATTGATCATATAAGATGCCTCACCAACTTTTCTGCACTGTTATAAGATTACTTTTCATGATCATATAGATTATATTTACAATTTGTAAAACATATATTGCTCTCGGGATAGCTGCAAGAGTTTCGCAAGTGTTTTTTTTTTTTTTTCGATTGCGACATTTTCTTTTTGCAAGATCGTGCAAAGAATTTGAATAATTTGATTACCTGTTCCGTAAGAAGTTCTCCTATATAACAAAATATAAAAATATTAAAGCCAAATGATATGAGCAGTGTAAACCATGCCATAGTTCGTAAAGGATCACTTATACCATCCTAAATAAATCATACAATTAACAATTAAATGATATTCAATCAAATGAAATAAATTAATTTCTTGATTTTTTTTTTTTTTAAATATAATAAATGATATATACATACGAGAAGAGTATAATAACCAAGAAGACACATATTTAAAGTACATCCAAATACTTCTACTATGGATATTTCATTTAACAAATTTTCTGTTAACGATATAAAACTGTAAAAAAAAAAAAGACCAAACATATAATTAACTAAATAAATATTTTCTGATTTATTTGTTTTAATAATTTAATAATGCAAGAGTATAATTGTGCCATACTAAAAATAATTGCAAGTTTCTAACAACACTTATGTGTATTAATTGTTTCAATATTTTTTTTTTTTGATTATACTTTGTTGAATACAAATTTAATTTCCATTGAAATTACCTTAACAATTGTACATGTTTCTTAACAATTTCAGCCAAACGTTCTTTGATATTTTCATTTTGATTGACACGTCCATCTATTAAATATTTTAACCAGGTAATCAACACCTCTAATTGACCACAGATATGCATAACGAAAACAGCAGCAATACCACAAGCACCAACAGTTATTGTATTAACAACCATTCCTAAGGAACCTTGAATAACGATCATAAGCTCGTTGATGGGACTTTGACGAGCGTCAAACATTATACTTGGTATAGGATAAACCAAACGTCTATACGTAATATTATCAGCAACTATTTTGGTTGAAATTGGTACGATAAAACGATACATTGATGAACCACCAAACATAAAAAGTGCACTAATTATAATCAATCTACGACCAAATGTAGCATAATCTAACATGATTTGACGATCCTCGTTATAACGAACGTTTTTCCAATCCATTTTGATAAGATCTATACCACTTTTGGTATAAGTTTTTTTAATTAACAATGAAGTATATTTTATAAATCCCATAATGAAAAAACTTATTGAACCGGTCATTCTAATTCGCGATTTAAAATCGTGCAAATCTATGAACGTGTAAATACTGCATACGGTGATTAATAATAAAATGACACTGTAACAAAATATATTTTTTAATATTGATAAATATTTATTGAATTTATTCGTATCATTTGATTCGGGCCATACACCGAACGGTAATAATAACCAACGTATTAATTCGATACTGTAATTGTAATCTTGTTTGTAATATTTGTTTAAATGTTCGTTCGGATTTTGAAGGATGTCAGATGGATTTAGACTTGTCATCGCTAAGGATCGATTTGTACTGAAGGGCTTGGGAATATTTCTTCTTCTTCTACTACTACTACTACTACTACTACTACTACTATTACTACTTTTAAAGTAGTGGAACATTTCTAAGCGCGTGCGCCACTCTGATTCTAAAAAAAATAGTTCAAAGGGGAGTTCAATGTAGGGTAAGGTTGATTACTTCGTATATGTTTTTGAAACTGAATGGTCAAGTTATGTGTACGTGTTTAGAATAATTGTTTACAATTGTGAGTAAAAAAATTTATTTTAAAGTATTTCCTATTGTTTTTTTTTTTTTTTTTAATGTAATAAGTTAACAAATCTTGCTTGGATACTTTGCAGTCAAAGTTTTACAGTTCTAACGCAAAATTTCTTTTGCATAAAATAATTTTAATTTTTAAATATTATAGGTTTTGTTTTTATTAAATAAATATTTTATTATATTTATTGTAAATTTTTATAATATAAATATTTTATTTTATTTTTTAGATAAATTTTTTTTATATAAATTAAAAATATTTTTTATTTATATATATATATAAAAGTAATCCAATAAAAATGTCAAACACTTTAAATTAACACATTTTGCGTGGGTGGCTACTAAATTCGTTTTTTTATTTACTAAAAATATTATTTTATAATTTTATTAATATAAATATAAAAATAATATTTTTAGTAAATAAAAAAACGAATTTAGTAGCCACCCACGCAAAATGTGTTAATTTAAAGTGTTTGACATTTTTATTGGATTACTTTTATAGCAGAAAAGAAAAAAATAATGTAGTATATCAATAAAACAAATTATTTTTGTTAACAGATATATTTATAATATAATTTTTATTTTTATATATTTTTAACTATGATAATATAAATGAATTTTCTTTCTAAATATTTTTTATGATGTAACAGCACGAAGCATGTTCAAGTAACCAACCGAAGTTTTTATAACCTGTGGCACACGTATTTGTTGTTTGTTTAGCAATAAAAATTATAATAATATAATTTGTAAAATACAAATTTTACAGGGTGGGAAATACTCACATCGCCAAAACTTCTCAAAGATAATTCGACGAATTTTCCTGCAGTGAGTCTGCTCGATGATATGGACATTGAAATGATTATAATTAAACTTAGAGCTTTTTTTCCTTTCAATTCGTACCAATTGATCATGTAAGCCGATTCTGCCATTCTCTTGCACTATTTTACATGATTAAGTTCGCACGTTACATTTCTTTTTTTCTTTTTTAATAATTTAAACAAACTTAGGTATCTTTTTCATTGCATCGTTCATACTCGTATTTTTTCTTTTTTTTTTTCTTTGCTAACATTCAAATTTATTTTCTATCCATTTAATTCTCATATTTTACAATTTTATAATATAAATTAAATATTAAATTAACTAATAAATATATGTAATTATTTTGTTTAAAAAGATTCAACAAAAATTTGCACTAACTTATTGGTCAATTCGATAAAATAGTAAGACAACAATTTGTAATTAATTGAAATGATTTAATCATTTTTATTTAGTATCATTTAATCGTACCTCTTCAGCAAGTAGTTCACCGATATAACAAATGATAAATATATTGAACATAAATGATGTCAGTAGTGTAACATAAGCGAATAAATTAATCGCATTAACATGATTCCATCCCTGAAATTAAATTGAAAATACCATAAATATCAAAAGCAACGTATTATAATTCAAATACAAAAAAAAAAACACACAAACAAAAAAATACAATATACCATGATCATATAATATCCAACCATACAAATATTCAAAGTACATGCTAAGATTTCAACCAGAGATATTTCGTTCATCGAATCTTCCGTATAAGTGATAAAACTGCAAATAACAAAATCAGAAAGAGAGAGAGAAAAAAAATAGAAAAAAAATATTAAATTAAACGATGTAATACTTTAACACTCGCACGTGTTTTTTAACAATATCGCTCAATCTGTTATCAACAGAATCATTTTCTTCGGGAAATCCATTGATCAAATGATTTAACCAACCCATTAAAATCTTCAATTGACCACAAGCGTGTAAAGAACAAATGGCAACGAAACTGCACGAACCAGCTGTTATTGCACTCGTGATAAAACCACAAATGCATTGAATTAAAAGCATTAACTCGTTGGCTGGACTTTGACGTGCATCGATGATAACTTTAGACACGGGATATGCCAATGGTCTGAACGTTAAGTTTCCTGATACCAATTTAGGTGAATTTAAAGGTACTACAACACGATACAAAAACAAAGCACCTAAACCAAATGATGCTGATATTACAACGATACGTCTACCAATTTGTGCACTTTCTAACATAATTTGACGATCCTCCTGACGTTTAACATCTTTCCAATCAACTTGAATATGATTCAAACAACGTTTGATTTCATTACCGTGTAATATCAATAACCAATATTTAATCAGGTTTCCTGTTGTAAACGTTACCGGTCCTATTTTGCTTAATTTAGCTTGTATATCTTTTACGTCCAATAATATATATAAAATTGTACTAATTAAAATGAAACCGATCAATGACGAATGAAATAAATTTAAAAATCTTGCCAATAGTATATCGAATAAACTAGCGTTTTCAGTTGTAGGCCAAATTCCTATTGCTTTTAACAACCAACGATTTAATTCCATGCTGTAATTTAAATCTTTTTTGTAATCCAAATTTTTAATTGATAAACAATTGCGATTCTTTGTGTTATCAGTTGCCATTATTCTCGATGATCGATATGTAAACTGATATAACAACAACCCTTCTTAGTCGTGAAGACATAACTGAACTCATCGAGCAATGTAACATCATGCACACACCCACAATGTTCAGGCGCGTGCGTGAGTTAGAGTTTCCTTTATTTTCTTTCTTTTACTTTTAAGAGAGGGGAGAAATTATAGGTAGAAAAGGTTTGTCCTTTCAGTATAACGCAGTTATACTTTATACGAGTGACTGTGTGTACGTACGTTCACGTGATATTTATCGAGATCATGAAATAGTTCGATGACTTTTACCATAATCATTTAACTTTTGTTGTAACAGTGAATTTTTTCAACTCGTCGTCATTCGATAAACATTCTCGTACATTTTTTCAGATTTATTACGGTGGTAATAATTATATAAAATTATAAAATTTAATATTATTAAATTTATATCATATAAAATTATTTCATTTTATTATTTCATATTATTATAGTTATATAATTTATATTATTATAATAATATAATTATTTTATATATATATTAAATTTTTATATTATACAATATACTATAAAATTATTAAATTTCAAATTATTAAATTGATATTAAAATTCAAATAGGACAAAAATCATTAATACCGTTGTTTCATGCAAATAGTAAAAAGAATTGTTTATTTAAACGATAGTTAATATTAATTAATTCATTTTGATATTTTTCTATGCATACTGAAGTTTAAATTTTATAATTGTGTATTTTTTTAGGAAGTCAACGTTCTAAGCATGTTCAAATATGCGAATGACGTCTTTACCAACTGTAAAAAAAATATTACGTGTTATCTTGTGTATTGAAAATTTCGATAAATGTTACAATGAAACAAAAAATACAACGTACTACACCAAAACTGCTTATAGATAATTCGATAAATTTTCCAGCTGTTAATCTGTGCGAAGATGAGGACGATACTGCGATGATTAATATTAAAATTAATCCTTTTCTTCCTTCAAATTGATACCAATCGATCATGTAAATTACTTCTGCTACTTTTCTACACTGGAATATATTTTCATTTGTTATTTTATTGTAAAGGTTTAAATCTCAGATTTTATATCTATTTGTAAAAAAAAAAAAAAGAAGAAAAATACAAATGATCAATCAAGTAAGTATTTATTGTAGTATCGTTATTGTTATTAATTTAAATCATTTTTAACATTACCTCATCGCTAAGTATTTCACCAACATAACAAAATATAAAAACGTTGTATGCAAAAGATATAATTAATATCGTATAAGTAATCGTATGAAACAAACTATCATTTTTCAAACCCTTCAACATAAAAATAATTAATAATTAATAATAAAATAAAATAAAGAAATATCATTAACTCACCATGATCAAATAATATTCTAACATGCACATGTTTAACGTACATCCTAATACTTCGATGAGAGAAATGTTTTGTAAAAATTGTTGTATAAATGATACAAAACTGTAAACCACAAAATAATCATTTAAATCAATTCACATACACACACACACTTACACATGAAACATACCTTAAAATTCGTACGTGTCGTTGTACCCAATAACTCAATCTTTCCTCAATATTATTATTTTCATCTGATCGTCCAGTAATCAAATAATTCAGATAAGACATTAAAATTTTCAGTTGACTACATGCATGCATAGTTGAAACAGTTAACATACTGCAACAACCAACCGTAATTGCACTCATGACCAAACCAACGAAACATTGCAAACAAATCATAATCTCATTGGTCGGACTTTGACGAGTATCCATGATTACCTTGGAAATTGGATAGGCTAATGGTTTGAATGATAAATTACCAACAACAATTTTTGGTGAGAACAATGGAATTGTTACACGATAAATGATAACACCACCGAATGCAAAAGCTGCAGAAACTAAGATCAAACGACGACTAAAATCAACGTATTCGATCATTATTTGTCTTTCCTCGATACGTTTAACATTTTTCCAATCATTTTCCATATAATTTAAACAATATTTAATATCTTTCTCGTGGATTATCAATAATGTATATTTCGTTAACGTCATAACGCAAAATGTTAATGAACCAACTTTGCTCAATCTTACTTGTACGTCTTGCACGTCTACGATTAAATAAATAATCGCGGCAAAAAAGAAAAAACTGATAAATAAAATGCAAAATAAATTGATCATTCGTGATAATATTATTTCGATCAACGATGTTTCCACAGTTTTAGGCCAAATTCCAATTGGTTTTAATAACCAACGATTTAATTTAATCGCGTATTTCATATCTTCTTTGTAATTTTGATTATACATTTGTTTTATGCTAATTCTTTCTTTCTATATATATAACTTTGATAACAATGAACTACTCTCGTTATTGGTTGAGGTAGAACTGAAGACTTTATAGTTTTGCTTCCTTTTAATGATCTATTTAAAAGCCATTTATGGCGCGTGCGCGAATCAACATCGTTCGTTTTGTCTTCTCTCTTTTTTTTTTTCTTTTTTCGAAAGAGTTTTACCCTCATTTCTATTCGTCTAAGCCGTATTATACTGATCGTAGATAAATCGTGAATTGTAATATTTATTTTTTAAATAATTCTTCAATGTTTGATTAAATTTTATTATTTTCTACTTTTGTTTAATTAACACATTGCATTATTTTTATTATTATATATTATTTGATTTAGTTTCGATTAAATGTGTGAACGTTTTTAATATTTTTATTCTCGATAAATTTATTTAATTAATCGTGTAATAAATATATTTTTTTTTTAAGTTTATGTTTAATTTAATTTATTGGAAGAATATTAAATTGTTTTCTTCTTCTTCTTCTTCAAATTGATTCATCAAGTAAGTTTCTGTGTGTTATTTTATTTTTATTGTTTTTATTTTTAATATATCGTTTTATATTTTTTATTAGTTAGTGAAAAAAGTTTATTATAGTTTGATTTTATTTTTCATAATTCAGTGATGTATTCTATCGCGTTTTTTTTTTTTAGAAATATTTTATTAAACAATTAAATTAATATTAGGTAATAATGGGAATAGAAATAAAAAAAAAATAAACGGATTAATATTGTAAATGTTTAATTTTATATTATGCTCATTTTATAACAATTTGATTGATTAATATCAATATGTTTTTAATTTATGATAAATAATCTTATAGAAATTATTAGATAAATTTTATTTAAAAACGTGTATGAAAATTTCTTTCATACAAGTGTTGTTCATAAATTTGTTTTTTTTTTATAATATTTTATTTATCTTGTAATCACAGTTTTTTTTTTATATTTTATTTTTATCAAGAAAACGTAATTATGTCATTTAGATAAATTATCACATGAAAATAACTTGACTATGATTTTCTAGAAAAATTCTAATTTTCAATTACTAAGAAATTCCATACAACTATTTAATAATGTGTATGATCTCGATTACTCTTGTTTTATTCGTTTTCAAATATTTTCTGAAAATTTCTTTAAGTTGTCACAGTTCGTAGCATGTTTAAATAAGCAACCGATGCTTTGATCACCTACACGAATATAATAATAATAATAATTATTATTATTGTTGAAATATTTCTATGATTTTGAATACATTTGAAAAATTCGTAATAAAATTTATTTTATTTTATTATTTTGATTTTAAATTACTTACGTCACCGAAACTACTGATCGATAATTCGACAAACTTTCCAGCAGTTAATTTTATCGAGGACGACGACATTGCGATAATTAAAAGTAACGCAAGACTTTTTTTCCCTTGAATTCGATACCAATCGATCATATATGTTGCTTCTGCTACCCTTTTGCACTAATTGTATAATATTTTATCATTTAACCAGTTTTTTTTTTCTTGCAATTTTTCTTTCATTTCAATTTATATTTAAGATAATTTTAAAGAATTACGAATTGTTTTCTCAACAAAAATTATGCACAATAATTTTGATTGATTTTTTTTATTATTAAACAAAAGTTAAAATAAATTACAATATTCCATTTATCAAAATTTAGACGAATTCCTTACTCCTCTTTCTTTTTAAAAAATTTTTAATTAGAGTAAAAATTGAAAATTAGTTTTTGAGAAAACAATTTGTTATCTTTCGTTTCTTGTTTTTTTTGTTTTGTTTTTTTTTTCTTTTTTAATTACACTAACACGTAAAATTATATAAATTTGTATATAATTTTACCTCTTCAGCAAGAAGTTCACCAATATAACAAAATATAAATATATTATATGCAAAAGATATTATCAGTGCGATATATGTCAAATCAGAGACCATGTCTCCCTTATCCCAACCCTGTAAAAAATTGTTAAACAATTGTTACATTTTTTGTGGTTGCTTTCAGAAATTGAAAGAAGAAAAATAATGAGAGAAAAAAAGGGGAATACAATTTAAAATAAATATAATAATAATCTACAAGCATACCGCAATAAGATTATAACCAAGCAAACATATGTTCAATGTGCATCCTAAAACTTCAACGAGGGAAATCTCTTGCAAAAGTTCTTCGGTAAATGCAACAAAACTGCAAGAAAAAAAAACAAAAAAATACGAAACGATCTACAGAATTTAAAATCACTGATAATTATTTTTTTTTTCTCAAATTAAATTACAGGTGAAATATTGAATAAAATATTCGCATAATCGTAGAAGAAATTATTGTGGTACTTTAACATCAACTAATTCAATAATTTGTGGTCACTTTTTCTTCAATTTTTATGGTATAAAAAAAAGATTTTCCTATTAGTTTATTCAATTTTAAACAACAATTTAACATAGTTGTAATAATCAAATTTATTTTAATTTAACATCATTGAAATAATCAAATATAAAAAAAATTGTTAACCCAAATTACCACAATATTTTCTTGTCCTTTTTTTTAATTAACAAATAAATATTTAAAAAAATATTTTACCTGAGAACACGTACGTGTTGTTGAATAATATCGGTTAATCTATCATTAATAGTATCATTTTCATCCGGTCTACCATCAACAAGATTATCCAAACAAGACATCATGATTTTCAATTGACCACATGCGTGTAATGCAAATACAGCAGCCAAACTGCAAGCTCCTACGGTTACTGCATTCATGACAAAACCACATAAACATTCTAATGGTATCATCAATTCATTTGCTGGACTTTGACGAGCATCAACAAAAATCTTTGACATGGGATAAGCTAACGGTTTGAAAGTATAATTTCCAATGACAACTTTGGCCGATGTTAGGGGTAACACAACTTGATAAAAAAAAACACCGCTGTAAGTGAATGCAGCTGATACAATGACGATACGTCGACCAAAAAGTGCACTTTCTATCATAATTTGTCGATCACTTTCTCGTTTGACATTTTTCCAATCGGTTTCCATATGATTTACGCAACGATTAATATTTTTCTCACGTATTACAAATAACCAATACTTTGCTAATACCATTAAACAAAAACTTATCGGTCCGATTGTTTTCAATTTCATTTCTATATTTTTTTCGTCCACCAAAATGTAAAGAGACGCGGATATTAATAAAAAACCAATCAAGGATGTACATATTATATTTATTATACGATACAATATTATTTCCATCCAAGATACGTTTATGGGTGCTGGCCAAACACCTATTTGTTTCAGCAACAAACGATTCAATTCTATACTGTAATTCAAATCCTTTTTGTAATTTTGATTTTGAATTGATGCCCATTTCATGCTGACAATTCTCTATGATCAAAACGTTACATACTGAAACTTTATACAATTGAATTCTTATTATTATTTTTTTTTCCTTATAGTAACAGGTTGTTGTATTCGAATGGGGAATGAATGCGCAAACGCAATATAAAGGGGGCGGTGCTTTATGACAGGTGGTGATTGACTACAACTACGAGTAGGTGGATTTCTTGCTTTCTATCTCACATGACTTTCGTTAGTATAACTCGTAACTGTGCTCAATTACTTGCTACTGCATTGTACAGTCTTCCGGTAATTTGTAAGTTTTACTTGTCAATATTATTTCAAGTAAAGTCAAACCTATTATTTTTAAATATTTGTATTTTTTTTTTTATTTTATTACGTTACACAATAGAATATAATAAAAATGTTGAGTGGTCGTAAACAAAATATTTTGTTAATTGCAATGTTTGTATTTTTGTTTTTCTTTCTTTTTCTTTTTTTAAGTGATCAATAAATCACAGGTAATCCACGTCAAGTTGATTAATTAGTGAAAGTACGTAACATGTTTAAATAAGCTGCCGATGTTTTCATTACCTAAACATTGAACATAATAATTAATAGAAAATCATGTGGAAAAATATTTAATGGAAAATGTTACTTACGCTGCAAAAACAGACCAATGACAATTCGAAAAATTTACCAGCTGTCAATTTTAATGGGGCGTTTGAAACAGCTATGAGAAGTGTCAAATCGAGTGCTTTCTTTTTTGGCAAACGATACCACTTTATCATGTAAGAAGTCACACCAACATTTTTACACTGTACGAAATATTCAATGTATATGAAAAAGAAAATATTCACAAAATTTTATGTAACATAATAATCAAAAAAAAAAAAAAATGCATACCTGTTCGGCAAGAAGTTCACCTATGTAACAAAGTATAAAAATGTTAAATGTTAATGAGATCAAAAATGTACAATAAGTGACTGTTCCAATTGCTTCGCTGTGTTCCCATTCCTGAAAAAAAATTGCAAAACAATACGATTGTTTTTAAACTAATTCAGAGTATTTCAACTAATATTAAATTTGTCATTTTCGTACCGTCATCAAATAATATGACAAGAAGCAAATATTCATCGTACATCCAACCAATTCAACGAAACAAATTTCATTGAACAATTCTTCAATTCGAGCTATAAAACTAATTAAAATCGATTGACAAAATAATTCTAATTTCAGTTAATTCACGATATCCAAAAATTCAACTCACTGAAGTATTCTCAAATGATATTCAACGATATCTTTCAATCGTTCGTCAGAAGAATTACCATCAGTTTGTTTCTCACCGAAAACGAGATCATCCAATTTCATCTTGAGAATTTGAAATTGTCCACAAGCATGCATGACGAATATGCATAACAAACTGCAACCATTAATGGTAACGGAATAAATAACGTAACCAGCTAAGGATTGTAAAAATTGTACGATCTCAAAATAAGGACTGCTTCGTGGATCGATGAGTTTACGATAAATCGGAAATGATGGTACTCTTATCGTTTGATTATCAATAGTTTCAGTTCTTTTAGAAAATAGTGGCATCACTGTACAATAAAATATTCCACCACCGTACATGAAAACAGCACAAATGATGACCAATGATCTACCAAATTCAGCATTTTCAATAACAATTTTACGATCGTCTTGAAAATTTGCAGCACGTTCCCAATCGGTACGAATATGATTGATACATTTGGCAATAGCAATTCCACGTGATGTCAAAATGTAATATTTGATTGCAGCCATTGAACAGAAACTAAGTGGTCCTATCATTTTGATTTTTGCATCTAAACTACCCAGGTGACCAAAAAACATTACCAGTGCACATGGTATCAATAAAAATCCTATCAAACAACTACTGATAGTTGTCAAACCAATTGAAATCATTTTTTCTTGGAAAGTAACGCTCAATGAAAGTGGCCAAGCACCGATTGATTTCAAAAACAAACGATTCAATTCGATACTGTAATTCCAATCTTTCGTAGTTAATTTGGTTTCAGGTAACGTGGTGGGTTCGTTCAACATGATGCGAATCGTACGGAAACAACGTACTCACTGACAAACCTTTTTCATGCTTAGTAAGATTGATTGATTCTTTAAGATTATACTCGCGCATGTGCAACCATACGATGAAAAGGATTGGGGAAGTTATTGTGTAGTTTTATAGAAATGTTTTGTCCTTCCGTTGGTTAGTTTACTCTTTTACTTCGGTAGGCGTATATATGCGTGACGAGGAAAGGTAACATTACAAATACTAATAGCACTTCTTTTCCGAAGGGCGTGTTACATGCGTGTTGATATAATTGTCTTTAAAAAACTTTGAATGTTCGTTGAAAATTTGGTACAAAGTTTTCTGACAAAAATATTCATTCGTGTGTAACATACTTTATTCATAGTACATTCGTACATTTTTTTTTAATACACTGAAGAAGAAAGGGTTCATTCGTGATGGGGTTAATTTAATTATACCTGTCGAATATTCGTTCCAATTTTTATTTAAAATTAATGGTGATAGATACTTGTATAATATTTTCTTAAATAAAGTACACACGCGTTTATTTATGCACTATCATTGCAATTTCATAATTATAATAATGTTCTGGTTTTGATTTTTTGTTTTACTTCATAATTTTACTTGTATTTTTAATTTTATGTCCGATTGTAGATTTTATTTGTATAATTTTTAGAGAACATTTTTACGTAACAAATTTAAATATGTGATTGATGTTTAGATGACTTAAAACAATAATCTTTTAAATATAATTTTATTATATTACTTATACTAATTTTTAAATTAACCATTATTTATGTTTGTAAATGTTGATATCTTAAAAATATATTTAGTATAAATTTAATTATATTTTACAGATGTTGTTGTACAAATTTTTTACATTGCTGAATGTTGCAATATCAAAGGAAATAACTTTTCCAGCAGTGAGTTCAGTGTCGTCTGACAATCGTAAGTTTTTTTTTTTAAATAATTAGACTTAAAAACAAACATAATTATTTTAATATTGCAGAACATTAATAAAAATAATTATTTATCGATTATTACAAATATCTTATGGGTAAAATTATGTTGCAAATAACTGTTTGTTTTTTGTTTGTTTAAATGTGTAGATGACAAATTACAAATTGTTCATAATCAAATTATTTAATTAGTTAAAGTACGTAACAAATTTAAATAAGCTGTTGCTGACTTGATAACCTAAACATTAAATATTAACAATTAATAGAAAATTAGAAAATAACACGTTTAAAACAATTGTATTACTCACGCTGCAAAAACTGGCCAATGACAATTCGAATAATTTTCCAGCTGTCAGTTTTAACGGGGAATTTGACACAGCAATTAAAAGTGTCAAGTCCAGTGCTTTTCTTTTTGGCAAACGATACCATTTTATCATGTAAGAAGTCATACCAACATTTTCACACTGTCAAATGAAATGAACAGCTCAGCTGTGCATTATGTTCGTAAAAGATTACTCAGGTAACGAAATGCACGTCATAATTAAATATAAAAATTTATAAAAAAAATATGCATACCTGTTCAGCAAGAAGTTCACCGATGTAACAAAGTATGAAAATGTTGAAAGTAAATGATATTAACAATGTACAATAAGTCAAAGTTCCAATTGTTTCGTTATGTTCCCATTCCTGAAAGAAATTGAACGTTGCAAAGTTTGACGATTGTTTTTAAACAAATTTAAAGTATTTTAACAAACATTAAATTTGTCATTTTCGTACCGTTATCAAATAATATCCCAAAAAGCAAATATTCATCGTACATCCAACCAATTCAACGAAACAAATTTCATTGAACAATTCTTCGATCCGAGATATAAAACTAATATAAATTATGACTGAAATTATATTCATAAATAATTTTTATCAAGACTATGCAATCGTCATTAACACTTTAATGGCCACACAACTACGCAGTCAAATGTTGGCAATATTTTTGAAGAATTAATTGAAATAAATTTGTTCAAAATTCACGAAATAATACAACATATGCGAACTTACACATAAAACAAACAAAAAATAATACCAATTTAATAACAAATTTAATATTTTTCTTTTGTGTGGTAATTATTAAAATATTCAACAACGTGTAATGGTACTTTACAATTGTTACAAATTAATTAATTCATCATACAAATGTTGTGTGAGCGATCATTAAAGTGTTCAAACAAAGTTCAACTCACTTGAGTATTCGTAAATGATATTCAACGATGTTTCCCAATAATTTATTGGACGAATGAAAATTATTTAGTTTCTCGCAAGCAACGAGATCGTCCAATTTCGTTTTGAGTATTTTGAATTGTCCACAAGCATGCATGACGAATATGCATAACAAACTGCAAGCACTTATGGTAACGGAATAAATAACGTAACCAGCTAAACATTGTAGAAATTGTACGATCTCAAAATAAGGACTGGTTCGTGGATCGATGAGTTTACGATAAATCGGAAATGATGGTACTCTTATCGTTTGATTATCAATAATTTCAGTTCTCTTAGCACAAAGTGGCATAACTGTACAATAAAATATTCCACCACCGTACATGAAAACTGCACAAGAGATGACCAATGATCTACCAAATTCTGCATTCTTAATAACAATTTTACGATCGTCTTGAAAATTTGCAGCACGTTCCCAATCAGAACGAATATGTTTGATACAGTTTGCTATAGTTATTCCACGTGACGTTAAAATGTAATATTTGATAGCTGCCATAACGCAGAAACTAAGTGGACCTATCATCTTAATTTTAGCATCTAAGCTACTCTCACGACCAAGAAACGTGACCAGTGCACATGGTATCAATAAAAATCCTATCAAACAACTACTAATAGTTGTCAAACCAATTGAAATCATTTTTTCTATGAAAGTAACGCTTAACGAAAGTGGCCAAGCACCGATTGATTTTAAAAACAAACGATTCAATTGAATACTATAATTCCAATCTTTCGTAGTTATTTTGTTTTCAGATAATTTTATGGGTTTGTTCATCATGATGTTAATCGTACGGAAACAACGTACTTACTGACAAACCTTTTTTATGTTTAGATTGATTGATTCCCTTAGGATTCTACTCGCGCATGTGCAATTATTACGATGAAAGGATTGTGGGGAAGTTATTGTGTAGTTTTGTCCTTCCGTTGATTAGTTTACTTTTTCCCTTCGAAGGGCTTGTATATATGCGTGTTAAAGTAATTTTCTTCAAGAAAGTAAAAATATTGAAAAGAAATTTCCTTTTAAAACGTATCACGTACTTTTTATGGTGTTTACATTTTATTACAAATATACTGAAGATTAAAGGGATAATTTTAATTGTACCTGTAAAAAATTTGTTTGTAATTTTTGTTTGCAATTTAAAGGTAATAAGTGTATTTGTATAATATTGTTTTAATTAGAGTACACATTTTTATTCGAACACACTATTGATTTTATTTTATAATTTAAATATGTATTAACATTTACATCTAATTTTGTTTTTTATGTTTTTATTTGTTAATAATTATACGTGAGTATCTTTTCTATTTTTTTTTTTTTAGACCACAACCTTACGTAAAATATTTAAATAAGCAAATGATGTTTGGACGACCTGAAACAATAATTGTTTTTAATACAATTTTCATGACATTTTGTTATATTATTTTATAATAATTTTTTGTCACAATTTAACATTTTTAAAAAATGTTTTTTAGGATAAACTTAATTAAGTTATACATAATATTTTATTATACAAATTACTTACGTTGCTAAATGTTTCCATACACAAGGGAATAATTTTTCCAGCAGTGAGATTTGTTACTCGAGATGATCTTAATATGATCAGTGCTATACCTAATGGTGATTTTCCAGGTAAACTGTACCAATTAATTAAATAAGCTTTTATACCAATCAGTCTGCACTGTTAAATTCAATAGAAATTAAATTAAACATTTTAATAGAAAAATTATGTCAGAAGTGTGCAGAATAAATTTTATGTTTTTAAAAACGTGCGTTGTACTTTTAAGTAGTTTGCATAATCCTTATTGAAATAATGTTCAAAAAAATTTTAATAATAATAATAATAATAATAAAATGATATTTTTACCTGTTCCGACAGAATATCACCGATGTAACAAAATATAAAAATATTGTAAGCTACGGATACAAATATTGTACCATAAATAGCAGTCGTTCCAAATTCGTTTTCATTAAATTGCTGTTAAAGAATTAAAAAAAACTATTCTAACGAAAGAAAGTCAAACAATTTGCTAAAATTACATTTAAAATATTACATGGAAGAATTATTTATTTGACAAAAAATAAAAAAACAATTAATAATTATTTACCTACTTTTATGCAATAATATCCTAAAAAACACATATTGAACACCGAACCAAATATTTCAACGAGACATATAAAACTTAATGTTTTTTCTATCCATGTGACAAAACTGTAATTAAAAAAAAAACAAAAAAAAATTAATAATTATTTTTCAAATTTCCATTTTACAGCAAACATATTTTTTAAATAAATACTTGAGTACGCGTAAATGATGAACAACGATGACACCAATTTTCCTTTGAGTTGACTCATATTTGTAATCAATGTCATCTACCAATGATTCCAACCATAATTTCATGATATTTAATTGACCACAAGCGTGCATGACAAACATAGCTGCAATAGCAACAGCTCCAACACTGACAGAATTAACAATAAACGTAACAATAAATTGTAACAAAAGTATAACTCGATGTGCCATTGTATAACTGGTATCCCAAATTTCATTATAAAATGGATAAGGTAATCGATAAATGGATACACTGACGTTACCAACTAATTCGATTACAGGTGTAATACCTTTGAAAATGTTAAATGCAAATATACCACCGTGCATAAAAACTGCACTGAAACATACAATGAAACGTCCAGTTTTGACGCAATTTAACATCGTTTCACGTTCCTCGATTTTATTGATCATTTGCCAATCTATTTCTATGCGATCAACGCATCTACGAATATCATTGGATCTTATCAAAAGTGTGCAATATCTGATTAACGATAATGACCAATAACTTAAAGGTGCAATTGTTTTTAATTTGACTTCTGGATCTTCTTCCTCGAATAAAATATTCAATACGCACGATATTATTGAAAATATTAAAATTCCAATACACGTTAGGAATAAAATTAATGAAAATAGTTTAATTCTGATTGATGCTGTCCTAGGATATGGCCAAATACCAATTGGTTTTAATAACCAACGATTAACTTGCAAACTATAATTAATGTCAGCTTTATAATTATGATTTAGGTGAATTTTATCGATAGTAGTCGTCATGATCGAGTTATGAAAACCTTCGTAATACTGAAACTGAAGTTTTATCAGCAGGACTTACTTATAGGTATCTCTTACTTCGATTATTATTATTATTATCATTGTCTATGGTTATAGCGCTTGCGCAAGTTTTAATGTATGTTGTAGTGGTATTAGTAATCGGTTATTTTCTTATGGACAACCATACGTGCTTTGACCATACAAAGAGAACAATAATCTTTCAATTGACTGATTTGTTTTTATTTCAAATGATATGTCTGTGAGTGTAATCTTTTTAGTGTTTAACTAAACTGAAAATTTGATTTATTTTTATAATGTTTTTTTTTTTTTTTTAATAAAATATTTTTGTTATATTTGTTACAGATTGCAAAATTTGTTGGTGGTAATTTAATAAAATAAAATTGATGGGATTTAATTAGGTATTAATTTTAAATCGAGTGTATTCAAAGTATTGCAAATTTGTTAAAAACAAAGTTTCAATATAATACACCGTATGTGTGAGTATAATTTTATTCTATATAAGTTTTTTAATTTTTAATTGATATAAAAAAAAAAAGAAAAACATGAAAATAACTTTATTAAAACTTTATTAAATAAAAAAAAATATGTATAAATTGCGTTTATGATTTATAGAAATTTTTGTCATAACGTCAATACCTAATTTATTCTAATAATTTTGTTTTTGGTGTGTATAAAGTTAATATGAAATTACGTTAACAATTTTTACGTCATTTTTTGTAGCATATTGAAGTAAACAGCAGATGATTTAATTACCTAAAACATTTAAGGAACATATATTATCAGATTAATTGTAAGCCACATATTATTTATTTACTATTGTTTAATTATTACTCACATCGCCAAAAGTGATAATGGATAATTTCATAAATTTTCCTGCAGTTAATCGTACCATGGAATTGGATCTAAGTATAATTAAAATAAATCCCCGTGCAGTATTGACAGGAAGTAGTTGCCAATCGCAATCATAAGCGACTTCACCTACTCGAAGGCACTATCAACAAATCTAATTTTGATATATTCAATCAAAAATAATCAAATTTATCCTAAATTAGGACAACTCAATGAAAAAAAAAAAAAAAAATTGAAAGGAATTTAATTACATAATGAAAAAAAAAATGGAAAGAAAATAAAAAACAAAAATAATCAAACTCTATTACTACCTGTTCCGAAAGTTTTTCACTAAGAAAACAAAACACGAAAATATTGAAAACCATGGAAACAAATACAAGAAAATATCCTATGGTATTTTTTGTATCGTTATTCTCCCATTCCTGCAAAAAAAAAATTGACGAAACATATTCTTAAAAACGTAAAATGATAAAATTTTTTTTTATAAAATCCGTGCTTATGGTTTTTTCTTATTGTGAAATATCATTGACAAAATTGACATATATATATATATATACACATATATTATATTTAAAAGTGTTTTTTAATGTTACAACACGTAGTTGTAAATTAATATTCTTTACTATGAATCATATAAAAAAAAAAATAACGATGATAATTACGTGACGAAATTTTTTTCAGTGAAACAACATGGAATAAAGTTGACATAAGAATCGTGTAAAGAATTATTACATCAAATTGATGGCATACCGTGATACAAAAATATCCCAACAAGCACATATTCAAAGTGCAACCCAAAAGTTCGACCAAACATATACGATTAATCACATTTTCGATATAATCGATAAAACTGTAACGAACAAATGAATTTCCTCGTGTATCACGTTTAATTCTAATATAAATGTTAATAATTAAAGTGTACTTTGGTACCTCAATGTTCTAACATGTAGTCTAACGATATCCGTTAATTGATAATTACTTGAACGAATGGTATCAACGAAAGAATCTTTGATCCATGCCATGATTATGGTTAATTGACCGCAAGCGTGCATTACGAAAACGGCAGCTAAACTGCAAGCGCATACGACGATTGAACTGGTAATAATAGCGGAAAACAATTGTAATGTATAAACAATTTCATATGTAGGATGAAATCTGGTGTCGGCTAATTTACTGTAACATGGACAGGGCAAGGGATGTAAAAATATCGTACGATTTTCAATAACAACGGGAATAAGTGTCATTCCTCGTACGAGTGAATACATCATGACACCACCATATGTGAAACTCGTACAAATAAGAATAAAGTAACGTGCTTTGTTAGCATGTGTTAACATAATATCACGATCTTTAGATCTTGTAATAATACGCCAATCATTTTCAATATGATCCAAACATCTTTGCACGTTATCACGATGATACAAAATATAACTGTATTTTATTGTACTCATTAGCCAATAGCTCACTTGTCCAAGTGCTTTCATTTTAGTTTGCAAATTATCTTCCTCTATGATTGCATACAACGTACATGGTATCAATGTAAAGCATATTAAAAAATATGAAGTTATGATTATAATCATAGAACGTAATTTTTGTAAGAAATTTTGTTTTTTCAACGATTGCCAAGCACCCATTGACGTTAATAACCAACGTATCAATTGAACACTATACTCGTTGTCATTGATGTAACTAACATTCATTTTGTTAACTGCTTCATGAGAATCTGTTGTCAATTCATTCATGATTCTTCTTCTACGGAAGCACATAGGCTACTGACTGACAATTATCTTTTATGTTTCTACCCTCTCTTCTATGTTCACCACCACCCTCCTTCTACAACCACCCTTAATGCCTAATCTATACGCTTGCGCTTTACGATACTTTTTTTTTTCGTAGCTGGACAGAATTAATAAGAATAAAAAGTAGTTTTAGTCACGCTGATCGATATTCGCGATTTCGTTGCTTACGGATTTAAGACAATCAAGTTTTTTTTCTATTACTTTTAGATTTACTATGGTTATAGTAGTATATCAGGATGAACATTGTTTTTTAACTTGTGTCGAATGAGATACTTCAATGATTTTTCTAGTTTTTTTTTTTTCTAATATTATTTTACATTTTTATTTTACCATTAAGAAAATTTGTCTTTAAATCTGATCTTAAAATAATTATCTTTTAATTTCATTTTATTATTCGGTCAACGTTCTCAACATGTTCAAGTATGCGAGTGACGACTTGATAACCTGTAAAACAAAAATATATAAAATATATATTTGATAAGGTGCAAAATATGAATTGTTGAATCAGTGATAAAGTTTTCTTCGTATTTTAATGTAAAAGTGTAAAATTTTTTAGATTGTATTGTTATGTAAAATTAAAAATTATTTATCGTTGAAATACGAAGAAACTTTTTCCCCATAGATATGATGTATTACATTGTTCAATAAATTTGTGAAATTTGTTGTTTTTTTGGGAGGGGGGTGAGGGGGAACATAGATTTATTAAACAAAATAATATTGATTTATAATTTTATACTTACATCACCAAAACTAGTTAAAGATAATTCAATGAGATATCCTGCGGTTAGATTTTTCGATGAATTGGAGGTTGCAATGATCAAAACAAGGCTACGAATATTTTTCCATGGTAATCGGTACCAGTCAATCATGTAGGAACATTCTCCTACTTTTTGGCACTGTTACAGGATTTCTTTTGACTATTCTGTGATATAGATCGATTACTATCTTAATTTTATAAATAAAAAGAAAAAGTAAAAAAAAAAAAAAAACTAATCTTGAACTGAAGTATTTTAATATAATTTAAAGGATAAGATTGTAATTTTACCTGTTCGGCAAGTAGTTCACCTATGTAACAGAATATAAAAATATTAAAAGTAACTGATATGAATAGTATGATGTACGTTACACGACCCATAGTTTCGTTGTATTGCCAACCCTGTAAAAAATTATTTTTAATACGCTTACAAATAATAAATTAATTTATTATTAAATTATTTACAGTGATGCAGTAATATCCAAGTAGACAAATATTCAAAGTACAACCAACAACTTCGACCAGTGATATTTCATTCAACACTTCTTCTGTAAGCGAAATAAAACTGAAAAAAAAAAAAATAAATCAAAATTATTTAAATAAGTTTTGTTAAATAAATTTTTCATTTTAGTGTGACTTACTTCAATGCACGAACATGACGTTGAATAATATCAGCAAGCCTTTGTTCAACGGTATCAAAAGAATCCTGACGACCGTCAATCAAATTTTTCAAACAAATCGTAATGACTTGCAATTGTCCGCAAGCGTGCATGGCAAATGTTGCAGCAAGTCCGCAAGCACCTGCCGTAATCGAATGAGCGATAAATCCTGAAACACATTGTATGCCAAAGAATATTTGATTGATTGGTGTACGACGTGCGTCAACGATGATCCTTGCAACTGGATAAACGAGTGGCCTGTAAGTTAGATTGGTGTCATCTTCAATAACTAAACCTTTTGCAAAAGGTACAGCTATGTAATAAAATGCAGCACTGCTGTACATAAAAATTGCACAAATGATTACAATACGACGACCGATATTTGCATTATTTTTCATAATTTTAATATCTTCCAGGTGTCGAACTTGTTTCCAATCCAATTCTATGTAATCCAAACAACGACGAATATCATTTTCTCTTAACGTCAATGCACAATATTTGATTATTGCCATTAAACAAAAGCTCAATGGTCCGGTTAAACGTATTTTGTCGTAAGTATCTTTAACTTCAAACGATAAATATAATCCACATGGTATCATCAAAAATATAATCAGACCATAACAAATAACGTTACTTAATCTGTGCAAAAAAATTTGTTTATACGAAATGTTGAATGATTTAGGCCATGCACCGATCGATTTTAATATCCAACGATTCAATTGAACGTTCAAATTCATCTCTTCTCGATTATTATTATCTTCTTTCACGATAACGTTGTTGTTCATGGACGTTGTTACATTAGACATGATCGATTATATCCAAACGACCACTCGATCGCAACTAACTTATCATTCACCACATTCAATCGTACAAAGCTTACCTGTCTCTTCTTACCTTACATGAATTCAACTCACTGCGCAAGCGTTTTTCAGTCGGGTTGTTTCCCTCGTCCAGGACTCAAAGGGTTGTAAGCTTGTCGTCAGTGTAAATAATAACCTTCTAGGGTATACTTTACGTTCTAGGATTTATCAGATTTCTCTCCGTATGTATTATAAAATTATTTAAATAATTTTAACAATAATAATACATTAATAATAAAATGTTAGGTAGTTTTTTATTATTTTGGTCATGTTATTAGATTGGTTTAAAGGTAAAACACGAAAAAAAAAGAAATTTATTGCATTTAATCAATTGTTTCTTTTTTGTTTATATTAATATAAAATAATATTGTTATTTAATTATTTTCATTTGGGTATTTTGAGTTTGTTGGGTACATTTTATTACGTCATTGCACGTAACATATTCAAATATGCGACCGATGATTTGATAATCTGTTTTGAACGAATTAATGTTAATGTTTTATATGATTGTTTGTTTTGTTTATTTAATATATGTTTTATATTCATATTTACGTCACTGAAACTGCTCAAAGAGAGGTCCATAAAATTTCCTGCGGTTAATTTTGTCGTTGTTCTTGACATTGCAATTAAAAGGATCAATGATCGTGCTGTTTTACCTGGCAAACGATACCAATCAATCCCGTAGGATCGTTCACTTAATTCGTTCACCTAAAAAATAAAAAATATTAAATAAAATTGATAAGTCAATTAACGGTTCGTTCTTAAATTATTGGATTACCTGTTCCATTAGAAGTTCGCCAATGTAACAAAATATAAAAATATTAAAAGTTATAGACGTTAGTATAATAGTGTAAGTTAGGCATCCTAATATTTCAGTGATGTCCCATTCCTGTAATAAAATATTTCATTTTTATTCTTTTATTCATTATAATTACAACAATATTATTGTCTATTCACCATAATGCAATAATAGCCAAGTAAACATATGTTCAATGTACACCCAACAACTTCAATCAAAGAAACTTCGTGTAACAAATTTTCAGTTATCGATATAAATCTGTAAAACAATAAATATTTTTGCAGGTAAAACACTGAACACTTTTCCAGGTAAAACAACTATTTTTAATTAAACAAGTAAAGATGATTTACTTTAAAATTTGAACATGTTGTCGAATGATACTCGCCATTCTGCCGTCCACATTACAACACAAATCTTCTCTGCCATCCAACAAATGTTCCAACCAATTGATGAGAACTCTCAATTGACCGCAAACATGCATCGTAAAAATTGCAACTAAACTGCAAGTACCGGCTGCTATCGAATGTGCGGCAAATCCGTAAAGACATTGAATGAGTATAACTATTTCATTTGCAGGACTGTAACGAATGTCTACGAGAAATTTAGTAACCGGAAATGGTGCTGGTCTGTAAGTGACATTAACGTCAGGTAGAAAAATTTTGTTACTCATGACAGGTAAAATGATATAATAAAATCCAGCAGCACCGAATGTGAATACATTGCAAATGTTAACTAAACGACGACCCGAGTAAACTTTGTCGATCATTATTTGTTCGTCCTTGAAATTTTTAACACTTTTCCAATCCATTTCGATAAACCCGATACACGATTGAATTTCTTTTTCATGTAATGTCAAAAAGACATATTTAAGAATTGCCATAATGCAAAAACTCAATGGTCCAGTAAGTCTCAATTTGTCATAGGTACTTTCAACTTCAAAAATCATGTAAGGACAGCAGCATGCAAAGACAAAGATCATGAGGAAATAAAAAATGATACTTTTCAAACGACGTAAACACTTGTCTTTCCAAGATACTTCAATGGAACCTTTGTCCAGTGGCCAGATACCCAGTGGTTCTAAAATCCAACGATTTACTTCAGTGGTCAAATTCACGTATTTTTGGTAATCCTCGTAATCGTGCACGTAAGTTTGTTTATCAATCATAGTTAATGTGACCTTATCATTCGGCTGTTACTAATCTTACTAAACATCTTTTCTTACATGAATCGTTTATACAAATGTTCTGCGCTTGCGTCAAGCTTTATGCTAATCTTTTTCCTTATATTCTCTTACCCTTCTTCAAGAAGGGGAAATAATATAGTAATCACGACTATCCAACTTTCCGATAGTTTACGAGAATTTTATTCGATGACTATACGATTTCCGGGATGGGGAATGAATGATCACTTTTTTTATTCTTTACGATAACGCAGGATATTGTTTTCCCCTCGGTTATGCGTTTACATTTATATTCATAGACAGACGTATTTTTTATACACGCACGCATTTATCGATTACCAATCATCCTATCTAAACGATAACCACTAAGTATAACGATACTCACGATAACGATTAATCAAAATGCAGTTGCGTGCATATGTGGAAATTCTTAAATGCAAAGAAAAAAAAAAATGATTTAGGTGTAAAGTTCACAAACGGTAAGGTTTTTTTTTAAGATGAATTTGTTTTATTCACATGTAATTGTAAAGTGAATGAAGTGTAAATGAATGTTGCTACAATATAAAAGTTATGTTAATTGAAAATTTCGTAATACTTTGCTAAATTTTTTTATTCACCCACTACTTTTTTCTCCTTCTTTATTTTTTATTCGTTTAAATCAATATAAAATAATATTGTTAATTAATTATTTTCATTTATGTATTTTTCATTTTGTTAGATGCCTTATTTTACGTTACTGTTCGTAACATATTTAAATAGACGACAGATGATTTGATAATCTGATATGAAAAATGAAATAATGTTAATGTTACAAATGTTTTTTTTGTTTGATTTATTTAATATAATTTTTAGATTCATACTTACGTCACTGAAACTACTCAAAGAGAGGTCCATAAAATTTCCTGCGGTTAATTTTGTCGTTGTTCTTGACATTGCAATTAAAAGGATCAATGAACGTGCAGTTTTACATGGCAAACGATACCAGTCAATCCCATAGCAACGTTCACTTAATTCGTTCACCTAATAATTAAACAATTCTAAATAAAATTAACAATTAAATGGATTATAATAAATAATTGAAGATACCTGTTCCATCAGAAGTTCACCTATGTAACAAAATATAAAAATATTGAAAGCTATAGAAGTTAATACAATGGCACAAGTTAGGCTTGCTAATATTTCAGTGATGTCCCATTCCTGTAATCAAATATTTCATTTAAATCATAATCTTCATTATAATTAGAACAATATTAATTTCTATTCACCATAATGCAATAATATCCAAGCAAACACATGTTCAATGTACACCCGACAACTTCGATCAAAGAAATTTCGTTCAACAAATCCTCAGTTATCGATATAAAACTGTAAAAACAATGAACATATATTTTACCAGGTAAAAACAATTTTGATTTTCACTTAAATAAACAAATATAACTAACTTTAAAATTTGTACGTGTTGTTGAATGATATTAGCCATTCTACCGTCAACGTTGGAACACAAATCTTCCCTGCCGTCCAACAAATGTTCCAACCAATTGATGAGAACTCTAATTTGACCGCAAACGTGCATCGTAAAAATTGCAACTAAACTGCATGTACCGGCTGCTATCGAATGTGCAGCAAATCCGGAGAGACATAAAATGAGACTAACTATTTCGTTGGCAGGACTATAACGAATGTCTATGAAATATTTAGTAACGGGATATGGTGTTGGTCTGTAAGTAACATTAACGTCAGGTAGAACAATTTTTTTACTCATAAGTGGTAAAATGATGTAATAAAATCCAGCAGCACCGAATGTGAATACATTGCAAATGTTAACTAAACGACGACCCGAGTAAACTTTGTTGATCATTATTTGTTCGTCCTTGAAATTTTTAACACTTTTCCAATCCATTTCGATATACTCGATGCATGAACGAATTTTTTCTTCGTGTAACGTCAAAAATATATATTTAAGAATTGCCATAACGCAGAAACTCAATGGTCCAGTAAGTCTTAATCTGTCATAGGTACCATCAACCTCAAAAATGATGTAAGGACCACAACATGTGAATACGAAGAACATGAGGAAATAAAAAATGCTACTTTTGAATCGACGAAAACATTTTTCTTTCCAAGTTACTTCAAAGGAATCCTTGTTGAATGGCCAAATACCCAATGTATCTAAAATCCAACGATTTATCTCTGTGGTCAAATTAACGTACTTTTCATAATCCTGGTAATAGTTCACGTAAGTATTTTTATCAATCATAGTTAATGTGACCTTATCATCCGGCTGTTACTAATCTTACTAAACATCTTCCTTGTATCGAATCGTATATGCAATTGTACTGCGCCTGCGCCAGATTCTATGCTGATATTTTTTCTTACGTTCTCTTCCCCTTCTTCAAAAAGGGGAAATAATATAGTAATCACGACTATTCAACTTTCTGATAGTTTACTAGAATGTTATTCGATTCATAATACCATTTCCGGGATAGGGATTGACCCTTTTTCTTATTCTATACAATAACGCAGGATATTATTTTCCTGTTTGTTCGTTCACATTTATATTCATAAACTGTTTATCGGTTTCTTTTTATACACGCACGCATTTATCGATTACCAATCATCCATTCGAAACGATAACTATCTTACAATTTGCTTTTATTATTCATAATGCAGTTGCGTGTAATGTGTGGAAATTGTTAATGGTAATAAAAAATATGATTTATGTGTAGATTTATGGTTACGCTTATATTTTTAATTTTTAATAAATTAAATAATTAATAATAATTTAATAAAGTAATAAAGTTAATATTTTTTAGATGGAACTTATTTTATTCACATGCAATTTCAAAGTGAGTTGGTGGAAATGAATGTTGGTATAAAAATGGTATTAATTAAAAGTCTGGTAATATAGTTTTGTTTTAATTATTTCATTGTTTTTTTTTTGTTAGTGAGTTTTCTTTTGAAAGTTAAACAATCAAGCTATAATTAAAATCTAATTTGTACTATGATCGGTAATTTATTTTAAATTGTAAAAGTGCGAAGCATATTCAAGTAGGCACCAGCTGACTTGATCACCTGTATTTTAATGATACAATATTGTTTGTCAGAAAACAATTTTCCAAATTCGTGTTAATTAACAAATTTGTATTTTTTATTTGTTCGTTTTTTGTTTATATACTTACGTCGCAAAAACTGCTTATTGATAAATCGATCAAATTTCCAGCAGTTAATTTGGTTGTTGAATTGGACATCATAATTATTAACACAATTGCAAGATTTTTTCTGTCTGGTATACGATACCAATCAATCATGTAAGATCTTTCGCCAACTTTCAAGGTCTGTTACAACATCTTTTACATTAGAATTCAAGATTATATTTATTTTTGTTTTACGTTGAAACATTTTATACTCAAACAAACAAAATTCGTGCATCTCTCACTTATCATAAAACAGTGTATAATCTTTTTATAATTTAGAAAAAATGATTGGGAAAAAGAAATTTACCCTCTCGGCAAGAACTTCCCCAATGTAACAAAAAATGAAGATATTGAAGGTCACCGAAGTGAGTAATATCAAATAAGTAACACTACCGAGTGGTTTTTTAATATCCCATTCCTGAAATATTTAAACAACGAAACAGAAATTTCTATCGAACAAATTATATTAGAAAAATTCGTGCAGTTTGCTTCTATTTTTATCAACAAATGAACATCAAAAACCGCGTGAACTTATTGACCACAAAACTCGAAAATCAGCAAAAAAAAAAATAATCAGATGTTAAAGGAAACCAAAGGAAAAGTAATAGAAGAAATTAGAAATAAATAGAAAAATAAGAAAAAAAAATAATAAAAAAGATACACAATTGTTCAAAGTGCAAGAACAATTTATTATTTATAAAATATATATATATATATGCGTACCATCATACAATGATATCCAAGACAACAAATGTTCAATGTGCATCCGACGATTTCAACCAAAGATATTTCACTTATAACTTCTTCTGTACGTTTAATAAAACTAAAATGTAAAAATTGTTTATAACCAATGATAGAAACGATTTATAATAATAAGTATATTGTTAAACTACAAAATTTTCTATTACAAAAAATTTATTTAAAAAATAAAAAGAATAAAAAATAAACTGACCTAAATGCACGTACGTGTTGTTCAACAATATCAGCCAATCGTTCGTCAAGCGTATCGGAAACATTTTCCCTTCCGTCTACCAAATATTCGAGCCAGGAAACGAGAATTTCTAATTGACCGCATGCGTGCATTGCAAGAAGGGCAACCAAACCGCAAGCTGCAACTGTTATGTTGTGTGCAACCAAACCGGAACACAATTGTATGAAATAAAATATTTCATTTGTCGGACTTATTTGTGCATCGGCTATTATCTTTGGTACGGGATAAACCAATGGTCTATATGTTATATTTCTATCCTCGTCTAATGCACGTCCATGTGTCATTGGTAATGCAATGTAATAAAAAACAACACCACCGTACATAAAAAAACCACAAATTATGATCAATTTTCTACCAAAGTTAGCATTATCTATCATTATCTTTTTATCTTCCAAATATTTAACATCCTTCCAATCCATTTCAATGGAATCTATGCAACTTTTAATATCATTTTCGCGAATTATTAAAAAGAAATATTTCATGGCTGCCATTAAGAAAAAACTCAATGCGCTTCCTATTTTTAATGAATTGTAAAAATCTTCCAATTCGAGAATGATAAACATACTTCCGAGTATTAAAACAAAACACAATAATATGTAACAGATTAGGATTGCTAATTTTTTCAAAAAATAATCTAATCGTTTTGTTTTAGATACTTTCAACGAAGGCCACGTTCCTATTGGTTTTAATATCCATCGATTTAATGATATACTCAGATCAACGTCCCCTTCAAAATTATCCTTTTTTATATTTTCCATTTAATATATCGATATTATTATAACAATTATGTTATCGATGCTTCAAACGTCACACTGAATCATTTGAACTATTCAAATGTAGTCTGAAGTATAATCGAACGAATATATTCTGCGCTTGCGCTAATTTATTCCTCCCCCTATCATCTCATTTTTTTTTTTCTAATAAACTTTACTAAACTCTCTGATTTGTTATTCGCTAGCTATTTTTTCTTCTTCTTCTTCTTTTTTTTTTTTTTATTAATTCTTTCCAGGATCAAAACCAACCAACAGTTTTCTATGCAACAATGTTAATCGTGTTTTACGTAAAAATGTGTTAGTTCGTTGTTAAATTACAAAATTTTATAAATACGAATGCAATTCTATTGTTCAACGTCATTTTGACAAATCTCAGCAAAATACAATCATAATTGTTTTGTTTACAAAAAAATGGTGAGTAATAAAAATACTTTGTTGGTAAATTATTTTCTTTATAGCATTACAGTGAATGGTCTGTTTTTAATGAATGTTTTTTTGGTTTCAGAAAACACGAAACAATTAAATTAAAAATATAATTGTTAGTTACTTATTTAAAATTGTTTACTACAGTGACTACAATCAATTCAAAAGTGAAATAAGATGCGTAATATTTGTATTATTAAAAATGATTACAATTTTAACTTATATTTGTTAACTTTTTGTATTTTTTAATCGTTTCTTGTTAATTAATTCTTTTTTGGTTTTAGAAAACACGGAATAATTAAATTAAAAATATAATTGTTCGTTATTCATTTAAAATTCTTCTCAACGACTATAATTTTCATATAACTTTCTACTCACCTACTAAAATAAGATGAGTAATATTTGTATTATTAAAAATTATTCTTCACAATTTTATCTTATATTTGTTAACTCTTTTTATTTTTTCTTTGCAGTCAAAAAAAAAAGAAAACAACGAGTAATAAAACCTTCAGGTAATTACCCGAGCGAAACTTTAGTTTTGCGTGCGATTAAAAGTAAATTGTTACTTTATTAGAAGGGTAACAAAGGTTACCCTTTCCTTTTCTCAGGTATACTCAGTAAAAAAAAAAAAATGATAATTTCACTCTTGCGCAGTGGAAGTTATTAAACTGTACGATCGAAGGAAGAAGAATTTAAAGTTGAAACATTATAGTCGTACTTCGTGCGTCAATATAGTCAGACTATTCGTCGTTCAGTATAGTCGAACAGACGTTCAGGACAGGATACGATATCTAAGGTGAACTTTTTTTATACTTCTTTTTTTTTTCAAAGTTGACTATACCAATAGAATTTTTTACTTGAAAGTTGATGGTACACATGGTACGAGGTTTACTCCTTTTCTTTTTTCTTTACTTTATTTGAAAATCAATTATTGTTTCTATTACTTTTTATTTGATTTGATTTGATTTTTCTTTTTATTTCAAACTATCGTCAGATTTTAACTAATATTTTACAAAACTCGAATAAACTCGTATTAATACATAAACATTGCTAATTATGATTTGTTTAATTTATTTTTATTAGACGCTACTTCGTAGTATGTTGAAATATCCAACTGCAGTTTTAATTATCTATAAAAATATTCACCTTTTTACTTTTGTCAAACTTAGTGTTTATTTTTTTTTTAAATATCATTGTGTAATTACTTACATTGTTAAAATTACTCAACGACATGTCCATCAATTTACCGGCAACGATTTTAATTGGATGATTAGATGCGAGTATTATCAATACCAAACTTCGTGCACTTTTCGTTGGAAGACGATTCCAATTAAGTGTACATGAAGTTACTCCAACTTTCATACCCTGAAAAAAGAAAAATAATATATAATACATATTTTGAATTATTTAATAAAAAGATCATTTGTGTGTCACCTGTTCCGATAGAAGTTCACCGATGTAACAAAAAATGAACATGTTAAAGGCAAACGATAAAAGAAAAATAAAATACGTGACCAATCCGGTCGTGTCACTGTTTTCCCATTCCTATAAATTTATTAATTACATTTTATATTATATTTAATATAATAATTTCAAATAAATAAATATTATATTACCATGATTAGATAATACAAAACTAGACAAACGAGACTAGTACAACCCAATATTTCAACCATGCACATATATTGCAAGATTTCTTCCACATCCTTTACAAAACTGAAAAGAAAATTTTATTTAAACATACATACATTCAAACATATTTTATAAAAAAAAAAAAAAAAAAACATACAGTCCCCACAGAACTCTTTCAATTTATTTTAATTTTAATATTACAAGCGTATAAAAAAAAAAACAGAAACAATTAAATCAAAAATTATTTCTACCTTCTATCATTGCACACAACAACAAAAAATATAAAATAGTATAAGATAAAAATAAAAAATAAAATAAAAATAAAATTAAACAATACTTACTTCCTTGCACGAGTTTGATGTTGAATTACTTCGGCAATACGTTTATCAGGATCAGAATCATTGTCATTCTTTTCATCAACAATATCTCTCATCATTCTCATGAGAATTTCAAGTTGACCGCATACGTGCATGATCAAAAATGTTGCCAAACCACAGACCCCACATGCAACCGAATAAACGGCAAAACCGGCAAGAAATTGTCCAAAAAATACCAACTCGTAAGCAGGTGTTTCTTGTTCGTTGAATATTACGAAATAACTTGGACAAGCTAAAGGTCTTATAGTTAAATTTCCAATAATCATTTTACCTTTTGATAATGGTAAAATCGTACGATAAGACATTCCAGCACCATAAATAAACGAAGCTGACATTACTGCCAATGTTCTACCAACTTTAGCATGTGACATCATAGATTCATAATCTTTTTCCAATACAACCTTTTTCCAATCATCTTTGACATGTTTCATACACTCTTTGATCTTTTTACCACGAGTCATTAAAATACTATACTTTGTTGCATTAATTGAACACGTGCATAATGGTCCAAATATTTTCAATCTAATTCTAACATTTTGTTCGATTACAAATATTCTTAACAAACCGGGTAATAAAATAAATGTAAATAAAAAATAACAAAATGCGTTCGCGAAATAACTGTAAATCTTTTCTACGATTGATGTTTCATCGTCAAGTGGCCAACCACCGATTATTCGTAAAATTCCACGACCAATTTTAACCGAATAATTTAATGCTAATTCATTTCTATTTTTATTCATGACGATGGGAATTTTTGGATCTTCTAATTCAATAGTTTCTGACATAGTTTACAGGGACTGTTCTTTTCTAAATCTCAGGGATAACTGAACGGGATAAAGGGATGTTATGCTGATACAAATCAAAAGGGGGTTTCTACGCTTGCGTAGAAACACAATCATGTAAGGTATAGAAATTATTTCGATTAGATAATTGCATTCTATGTAAGTAAACAATTGATATTTGAAACTTGAAAATCTTTGACGATAAAGTTGAAATATAATACGAATTTATTCTTACGCCTTTTGCAAATGAACTTTTTCATTTTTTTTTTATTCCCTTTGACACTCGTTTACTTTGATTAATTTTTTTTTTTTTAGTATTCAAAATTGTCCTCATAAATTTCAATTAACAATTGTTATATTGAATAATACAATTTTATTTTATTTTGTTTTTATTTTTTTAGTTTCAGTCAACTACGAGTAACACAACGACAGACAACTCAAATGCAACTTTGTTGCGACGATTATAAAAATAAATAATTATTATATGAAATAATTAGAATTAAGGTTGCTTTTAAAGGGAATTGTAAGTAAACGAGAAAAATGTTATTTTTACGCTTGCGTAGTGGTAAAAGTTAGTAAATTGTACGATCGAAGGAAGAAGATAAGTTGAAACACAACAGTCGTACTTCGTGCGTGAATACAGTCGGACTGTTCAGGATACGATATCTAAAGTGAACTTTGTTATACTTACTTTTTTTTTTTATTTTCAAAGTGCACTGTACTAATAGAATATTTTATTTCAAAGTTGGTGATACTGCACGAGGTTTTAAAAACAATTATTGTTTTTTTCATTTCTTTGTATTTTATTTCATTTTTTGTTCAAACTATCGTCAGATTTTTAGCTAATATTTTTCAAAAACTTGAATTTAGAATAAATACATACATAAAAATTACTAATTATGGTTTTTTTTTTTTTTTTTTTTAATTTTATTAGACGCTACTTCGTAAAATGTTGAAATAACCAACGGCAGTTTTAATTATCTAAAAATATTCACCTTCTTACTTTTATTAAAACGTAAGTATTGTATATTTTAAATATTATTGTAATATAACTTACGTTGTTAAAATTACTCAATGACATGTCCATCAATTTACCAGCTACGATTTTTAATGGATAGTTTGACATAAGTATGACTGGTATCAAACATTTTGTATCCTTTACCGATAAACAATTCCAATTTAAGGTACAAGACGTTACGCTTACTTTTGAACCCTGTTTTAATTAATTTCAATTTTTAAAATTTGTGCCAATTTTTCTAAATGTAATTATTATTTTACCTGTTCCGATAGAAGTTCTCCGATGTAACAAAATATGAACATGTTGAAGGTGAAAGATACGAGAAGTAAAATAAAAGTTACGAGACCGGTTGCATCGCTATTTTCCCATTCCTTTAAATAAACACAAAAATTATGATTATTGTTGAAAAAAGATATAATGAAACTTGTTATAGATTTTTTCATAGAAATTTACTTACCATTACTAAATAATATAAAACTAGACAAACGAGACTAGTGCAGCCCATAATTTCTGCTAAACAAGGATACTGCAAAATTTCTTCTACATCTTTAACAAAACTATAAAAAAAAAAAAAAAATAATTAAACATATTCACAAAAGTCAAAAAGTTATAATTAGTAAGCTTTACTTTCAAACATTTTTTTTTGTTTATAATTGTAATACCGAAACTTAATTTTCATGGATTAAAAACTTATATTTTTTGATTTTATTTTAATTAATTTATCAAATACTGTACTGTTAATACCATGAAATTGTCTTTACTTATAATTAAAATTATAATTACAATCAGATAATTAAATATTAAATAAAACAAAAATGTTTATAATTTCAGATAATAAAAATTACTTTCTTGCTCTGATTTGATGTCGGATGACTTCGTCGATACGTTTTTTGGGATTAATTTCATCAGAATAATGTCCATCAACGATGTCATTCATTTTTCTCATCAGTATACGTAATTGACCACAAACGTGCATAATCAAAAAAGCAGCCAATCCACAAACTCCACTACCAACGGTATAAACGGTAAAACCACCAAGAAATTGACCGATAAATACGAGTTCGTATGCTGGTGTTATTTGCTCATCGAATATTACAAAGTAACTTGGACAAGCAAGGGGTCTTATAGTAATATTACCAACAACTACAGAACCTTTGGAAAGTGGTAAGAAAGTACGATAAAATATTCCAGCACCGTATATAAAAGAAATCGACATTGTTGCAAGTATTCTTCCTATTCTAGCCTGAGACATCATAAATTCGTGATCCTCAGGAAGAATAATATTTTCCCAGTCTTCTTTAATATGTTTCAAACATTTATTAATTTTTTCCCTATGTATCAATAATATACTATATTTCATAGCATTTGTTGAACACGTACAAAGTGGTCCGAATATTTTCAATTTTTGTTTCGTACTTTTTTCAATTAAAAATATACGCAAAAATCCTGGTATCAATATGAATGCAAAGAAAAAATAACAAATGCACTTCATTATGAAACTAATGAATTTTTCAATGAACGATGCGTCATTTAAAATTGGCCAAACACCGATAGCTCGTAAAATACTGTATGGTATTTTCATGGAATAATTTAAACTTTTTTCGTTTCTAACGATGATACTTTCTTCTTCTTCTTCTGTTTCTGTTTCTTTTTCTGCTTCTTTTTTCTTCAAGTTAGTTTTGTTGAATTCGATCGACGACATGATCGTTGTCAAGAGAACAACGATAGTAATTGCAAAGTTGAAACTTAACTTAGGAAACAATGAAGACTGTAGAAAAAAAAAGCAAGCAATGTAGAAAATAAAAAACCTAATCGTTCGAGTATTATTGTGGTGGGGTAATATAATTGCATTTATGAAGTAGGGTTCTACGCTTGCGTACGATATCATCGTAAGGGTTGAGTTCGACCTTTCAAACTGTTACTTTATCTCTCTCTCTCTCTCTCTCTCTCTTTTCCTTTTCTTTTTTATTGTAACTTTGTTTTTAAATCCTATTTTAATATCATTAATAGTTTTCACGAATCAAATCATTCATTTTACTTGTTAATATCTTTCAACGAATTTATTTGTACCAATAAAAAAAAAAAAAAAATAACAAAAGACAAAGTGTGATATAACAAATGTTTGTTATATTCTTTGGGTTCGAATTGTGAATGAAGTTCAAGGATTTTGATGCATTTTACAATAAGTGAATAATGTGCTAATAAAAAAAAAAATATATTAAATGCTGGTAGTACGAAGCATGTTCAAATACGCCACCGATGTTCTAACGATCTAAAAATGAAACAAACAAATTATTGTACTTTATTACATTGTATTTTTTGTGATGGGGTTGAAGTGAAAGGGTAATCTTTGACTTACCGCACCAAAACTGTTCAGTGATAAATCTAAAAATTTGCCTGCAGTTATTTTGATTGGTCTATTAGACATTGCCATAATCAAAATCAAACATCGTGAAGTTTTTTCTGGCAAATGGAACCATTCCAATGTGCAGGACGTTCTTGCAACTTTCATAGCCTAATTCAAAAATATAAAATAAAATAGTTAAGTATCATAGAGGATGAATAGAGAATTGTATTTCCTAAAATAGAAATTATTTTACCTGATCGGTCAAAAGTTCACCAATGAAACAATATATAAAAATGTTGAACGTAAAAGTTACAAGTAATATCGCATAAGTTAACATTGCTACAGCATCGTTGTTTTCCCATTCCTGTAAAGAAAAAATGAAAATAGATTAAAAAAAAAAAAAAAGATAATTATAAAATGTAAGGGTGAAATATAATTATTTGAAAATTATTTTACCATGATGATATAATATCCCAAAAGACATAAAATCAATGTACAACCAACCACTTCCACTAAACATATATGTTGCATAGCTTCTTCGATATTTTTTAAAAATCTAAACAATATTGTACAAAAATTAGTAATAATTATTAAAAAATATTTTTAAAGTAAGTACAATTGATTTAACCCAGTGTAATGGTTTAAAAAAAAAAAAAAAACCAAAATTATGGTAATAATAGTATCAATAAATTTGTGTGATTGAATATTACACAAGTTATTTTGTAAATAATTATAATTGATATTATTTATATTATTTTATTATTATTATTATTTTTATTATATTTATATTATTATCTATAATAATTCTTATTGATTAACATTTTCATTGTATTTAACAAATTTCAGATCATTCGTAAAAAGAATTTTTCTTACCCACTGACATTAATATGATGTCTCACCAAAGCAGCTAATTTTTCATCCAACGAAATGATACTCGTTTTAGTATCGTCAACCAATTCTTCCAATCTTCTGATTAAAATTTCTAATTGTCCGCATGCGTGTAAAACGTAAAGTGCTGCCAAACTGCAAGCCCCGCTTGTCACGGAATACGTCACAAATCCGGCAATAGTTTGCAATGTAAAAACAATCTCGTAAGCTGGACTTTTTTGTGGATCGAAAAATATAAAATAACAAGCGAATGCCAATGGTCTTATGGTAATGTTTTTAGCATTAACTATGGTTCCTCTTGACAAGGGTACAATTATGCGATAGGAAAAACCACTGATGTAAACGAATGCAACGCAAAGTATGGCAATGCTACGACCTATTCTAGCCTTTTCTAACATAGTTCGACGATCTTTCAAATTGACAACATATTTCCAATCATTTTCCAGACGTAACACGCAATCTTCCAACTTTTTACTACGACATAAAAATATGGTGTATTTCAATACGGCCATTGAACAATTGCACATTGGACCAACTGCTTTTAATCTACGTCGTGGATCCTTTTCTTTCAAAAATGTATTCAACAATCCAGGTATCAATATGAAACATAACAACGAATGACATATTATTTTTAACAATTTCATACTAATTTCTTTGATTATGTTATCACGTGTTTTTTCACGATGGGGCCAAATGCCGATCAATTTCAATACACCACGACTAACGTGTACAGTAAGTTCAACGTCATTTTCATAATTATCGTTTTCCCATTTTGATGTTTCCATTGAGAATCAAAATACAATGGGGATTTTCTTCTTTTCGATTTCAACTAGTTTCTTACTAAACAACTTTACTAGAAATGTTGCCTTACTGACGTATAAGAAAAATCTAACTCGCTGGGACGGGAAAGGGTGTTCATAAATTATGCGCATTGAAATTACACGATTACTCTTTAAAAAAAAAAAAAAAAGAAAACTTTGCTAGGTAATCCATAACTTTTTCTATTCTCTTAGATTTGCGTAATCGGTGAAAATACGAAAAACTTTATTTCTACTTTGTTTTCTTCTTTTATTTTCTTGTTCTTTTTCTTCTTATAGAAATTAGAAGGGTTTAAAGTTAACGTTGGTTTTACCATAGACCGTATTACATTAAATAAAATAAAAATAATAAAACTAAGTTTAATTACAATTATAATTTCAATTAGAAAGGCTTAATGTTAACGTTGTTGATTTTACCATAGACCGTAATATAAATGTAAGTTTAAAGACAATTATTTTCAATTAGTTAATAACAATTTAATATTGAATTTTAACATCGTATTTAGTATCATCTTCTTTCCTACGAATGGTTGAGAGTGTATCCAAAATTTACGTTGTAACTGCACGTAACATGTTGCAATATGTTGCAGCAGTTTTGATAACCTGCAATCCAAATATTTTTCATTCTGTAAACTTTGATAAAAAAAAAAAAAAAATACAAACTGTCGATTGTGAAATGAACGAAAGAAAAAAAGACTTGTCTCTTATTTTTTTTTTCTCTCTATTGGAATAATAAATGATCCTGCAGGAGAAACAGGGTAAGTGCGTTCCAATCAACTTTTATATAAACTTTTGATTATCCTTGCGTGAGTAAGAATAAATCGATTATACCAACGACGAAGTTAGTATAATTGTCTTTAAAAAAAAAAAATAAATAAATAAATAAAGAAGAAAGAAAAAAATAAAAAATAAAAGAAAAAACAATAACAATAACAACAATAACAAAGTTATACTCACGTTACCAAAAGTTTGCAGGGAAAGTCCGACTATGTTACCAGCTGTGATTCTCATTGGACGATTCGATATTGCTGTCATCAATATAACACCTGCTGATTTATTTTTAGGTAAATTATACCAATCCAACGTACGACACGTTTTTGCTACATTTTCCGCCTATCTTCCGTCAATGAACATTTCGATCTGTAAGTATTTTACTTTATCTTCTTATCAATGTTAATAACAAAATTTTATCATCAAATTAATAATACCTGAAACGTCAGTTGTTCACCGATATAACAAAACATAAATATGTTACATATGATCGATGATAATGCAATACTGTACATGAAAACTATTACAAGATTATGGCTCGTCCATTCCTTGAAAATAAATATTCTAATTGTTTTGTATTATTTTATTTTATTAATACTGCATTTAAATATCTCGTTAGACATTTCAAAAAATTATACCATCATAATGTTATAGGATAAACAACATAAGATCAATGTACATCCTGTTAATTCGATCAAACATAATTTTTGTAGCATATGTTCCACCATACGTAAAAAACTGTAAATTATTTTTATGGTTATTATAAAATTTCAAAAATAATAATCATTTTGTAATTAACACATTTAGAAAATAATAAATTAAATTATTTTAAATATAATATTAATTTAATTATATTTAATAAAAAATATAATATATATTATTTTAAAATAATATTATATTAAATTTATAATATTATTAAAAATAAATCATTTCAAATATAATAAATATAATATTAATATAATATAATGAATTTATAGGATTCGTATAAGAATTCAAATATTTACAATAAAATTAAATTTTCTATACAAACTTTCGAACTCTAATTTGATGTTCAACAGTTGTAGCAATCTTTGCATCGATGTTAACACCTGGTACATCAGTTTTTTCTACCATTCTCTTCATCAACATTGTCAAAATCTCAAGTTGTCCACAAATATGAAGTACGAAGAGTGCTGCTAATCCACAAACAGCAGTCGTGATGGAATACGTTATGATACCGGACAAACATTGAAGAAAATAAACAATCTCGTAAACTGGACTAATTTGTGGATCGAAAAATAAATAATAACAGGGACAAGGTAATGGTCTTATCGTTATATTTTCATTAATTATTATTTTTCCTCTTGTCAATGGTATAATACCACGAAAAAGTATTCCACTACCGTACATCAATGCGCCACAGATAAAAAAAAATCTTCTTCCAACGATTGCTTTTTTTTTCATCATTTCACGTGTACAATTTTCCATGGTATTTTTCCAATCGTCTTTGACGTGTTTCAAACACAAATTAATTTCGTCTATGCAGAAAAATAATACAATGTATTTGGCTAAACTCATAGATGAATACATGATCGGTACGATTACGCGAATTTTTCCATAAGTACTCGTTTCTATCAAACAAATGTGCAAAATACCAGGTATCACTACGTAAAGTATTACTACGAAATTAAACAATATCAATATTAATCTTAAACTTTTGTGAAAACGTGATTCACTCATTTCCGATTGCAAATATGTTATGCGAATTCCTAAAGATAATAATACATTTCGATTAGGTTCTATCACGTAACGTAAATCATCTTTGTAATTTTTGTTTATTAACATTTTTTTTTTTTTTAATTTTCGTTTTGTTTCTATCACTTCTTATATCTTTGTCTAAGATCCACTATTGTAAATTTGCTTGTAGCAAATGTTACTGAACGTTAATACAATATGACTGATGATGAAGATGATGATGATTCGTCTGAGCAAGTTGTTGTAAATTGCGCTTGCGTGTTTGAATCTTTAACTTACTGTTATCAACCTTGGGTAGGGTTAGATAAGTACAGGTTTTACCTCTTTTAAAACTTCGACTTTTACATTTATTACGATAACTTTCTTTCTTATTCTAAGAATATATAAGTTTCTTCTATCCTGGTAAAACAATCGTGAACCCTTTAGAAAACAAAACAAAACAAAAAAAAAACATAAAAAAAAGTACGTATTGTACAAATTGAAAAAGTAAACGTAGAAATGATATTAAAAATTATAACATTCACAAGGGGGTAAGTTTAAATTGTGTACGATTCATCCCTCGTTCTTGTTTTATTATTATTATTTTGTTAAAAAGTATTATCGTGTTTTAAAACAAACGTAAAGATTGTTCGTAAAGAAAGTATTCCGTTCAAGTGAATTATTTTATTTTATTTTCTTATCGAAATTGTCAAATAAGTGGCTTATTTGTTGAAACGTTGACTTTTTTTTTGTTTCTTTATCAAATTAATTTGAAACTTTAAAGTGTGCGTGAAAAAAGTGACTAACAATTATTCGAAGATATTTTTAATAACTAATTTTTATTAATTTAACATGACCAATAATAATTATACTGCAATGTATCAGAAATCGCGAGTAAAATGAAATCTTACTAAAAAATACTATACTCACAATTAGATTATGGTAATTAAAAATAATTAAATCATCGTTCGCATAATATTACAATAAGCTACGGTCGTTTTAATTACCTAAAATATGAAAATAAATTTTTTAATAATTAATCATTCGAATGACAACCACAAAATTGGTTAATATTACTAAAAAATGTACTTACTTGTCCGAAAGTTTGTAAAGAAAGTTCGATTACGGTTCCAGCAGTGATTTTCATTCGACGATTTGATAACATAACGATCAGTATAATATTTTTAGCTTTTTTATATGGAATCCGATTCCATTCCAATATGCAAGATTTTACGCTTACTTTTTCGTCCTAGCATTTTTTGTTATAAAAAAAAAAATAAAATAAAATAAAATAAAATAGAAAAACAAAGATAATAAAATTGTACCTGTAGCATAAGTTGTTCACCAACCAAACAAAATACAAACATTTGAACTGTAACAGACAATAACGCAATAATAATCGATATTAGAGTTTTCGTATCTTGTTTACCCCAATCCTGTAAGGAAAAAAAATGTATCAAATTTAAAAAGAATATTAATTAAAAAAAAAAAAATTAAATAAATAAATAAATCATACCATCGTTAAAGAATAACCTAAAAAACATTGGGTCATGCTGCAACCAAAAATATCCATAAAATATAATGGATTCATGGTATTTTCGATCATTTGTATAAAACTAAAACAACAAACACAATTTTATCGAAATACAATTGTGAAGAAAAATAAAATGTAATTAAATAAAAAACAAAAAAAACAAAAACAAAGTCATACTTTCGTACTCTTATGTGATGTTTAATTGCAATAGTTAATTTCTTATCGATGTTGAATTTTTCGTTAGAATCAACATTGCTGACAATATCGTCGAGAAGATTGATAAATATTTCAAGTTGGCTGCATGCATGAACGACGAAGATAACAGCTAGTGTGCATATAGTAATATTGGTATAAATCGTAACGCAACCTTGAGCACATTGTAGAAAAAAAACTATTTCGTAGAAAGGACTGATCTGATCGTCGAAAAGATTAAAATAATAACCAGCACTGGGTAATGGTCTTATGGTAATATTTTCCGAAATTTTCATATTTCCTTTCATTAATGGTAAAATCAAACGCATGTAAATTACGGTTGAATGTAAAAATACGCAGATTATGGTGAAAAAACGTTTACCATATTTCATTCTATTCAAAATAATTTCTCGATGATACGAATTTGAAATATTGTTCAAATCTTCTTCCACATATTTCATACAACGTATTATATCCTTTTGTCTTATTATCAAACAATTATATTTTGTTAATAATAATACGTTGTAAAGTAATATTGGCATTTTTCTTAATTTAACTTGTATCCTTTTTTCTATCAATATTACGTGTAATATCGTTGTCGTTAGAAAAAATATGGTCAATCCGTAACAAATTAAATTGGATAAGAATTTTTTGATTTTACCGATGATTGTTGAAGATGTTGAAGTAAAAGTATCTTCAAAATGATCGAGCACACCTAATATTCTAAGCAATTTATCACAGACACGATTTAAATATTTCACTTCTATCTCATATTCATTCTTATTTCTTATCGTTCTTGTCATTTCTCTGACAAACCTTTTTATCCTATATCGATTCTTCTTTTACCCCTTTTGAATAGAAATAATAAAGAAAATAATCCCCCCCAAGTTTTACCTCGCTTTATTGAACTTGCTTTAAAATTCTTCATTTGTTCAACAAACTTGTGTCTCAGAATAAATTATTATTATGGTTTCGTGATACGCATGCGTTGATAATAAATTATTTATTTATTTTTCTTTTTTCTTTTCCTATCTAGTGATCAGTAAGTTATACAGAGAAAATTGTTTCTTTCCTTTATTTTACTTTTTATGGGAAGAATCATTGTTTTATCGTTTTACGCATATGTTGGAAGTTTAAATGAATATATTTCTTTTTATTAATAAAAATAAAAATAAAAATAAAAATAAAAATAAAAATAAAAATGAAAAGACAAGTTGTTTAGGAAAATAACTACGTTTAACACACACTTATAAAGTGGATTAAAAGTATAAGATTTAAAAAATACAATTGAAGTATGCGAAGCATTGATTTACAAGATAAAGATTCGATAAGGCAATACACATATTTTTATTTTATGATAATATTTATCAATTACACGATAACGGTTGTGTGCAGTCGTATGATTAAAGTAATTCCATAAACTATTAAATGATCAAACCGAACGATAGAATCAATCCCACTTACAAAGTATTCTAATCGATCATTGTGATGTCTAATCAAGAAGAATCTAAAGGTTAGCAGAGTATTAAACAAATTCCAAATTTTATATTTTTAATTAACATAAACATTTGAAATATAATTTCAATCTTTATAACTTAATATATAATGTTTCAAGTAATGATTTTGATTGTCATTTAAGTGTGCGTCTGATTTATATAAAGTATATTTTGTTTTTATTGTTTTATACAGTTGCATTATGGAAATTGCAAGAGGGAACGTGGACTATGTTTATTGCAGAAATAGTTGGTACAGCAATATTAATTTTTATTGGTTGTATGGCATGTATCGGTTCCTTGTTACCTACACCACTGCAATCGTCTATTGCATTTGGTATGACAGTAAATCTTATAATTATGGTAAGTTTTAATATATAAACAAATAATTATAAAATTAATCAGTGAATGCTAAATTAAATGTGTATAAAATTACATTCTTATTAAATTGTAAAAAAAAAAAAAAATAGTAAGAAAATTAGAATTTATTGTCTTACGATTGCGGAAGTAACAATTACAGTATTAAACATTTTTTAATTGATTCAGCAATATAATGTATAAATATTTGAAAATAATTTCAAATATATGATTGAATGAAATTTAATTTTAAACAAAATAAATTCTATTTCATTTGATTAGATGTTGGGTCACGTTAGTGGAGCTCATTTAAATCCAGCAGTTACAATTGGTGCAGTAATCGTAGGTTTAAAAAGTATTCCAACAGGTATCTTATACGTAATTGCACAATTTATAGGTGCAACTCTTGGATACGGTGCATTACAGGTTATTTGATTTTAATTTTCATAATACTAATGTATATTAATTAAATTAAATATATTTGTTAAATATTAAACAGGTAGTAATACCAGGTGATTTATTTAACAATGGTAATTCAAATTCGATGGTTGGCGTTTGCATGACTGTTATTCATCCTAGTGTCAGCATTGCTCAAGCTATTCTTATCGAAGCATTATGCACTGCATGCATACTTCTCGGTGCATGTGCAACATGGGATTCCAGATGTGCTCATACCACAGATTCAACTGCTATCAGATTTGGTTTTTCCGTTGTTGCTATCTCACTTGCTGCGGTAACATTTTTTAAATTATATTTTTTCTTATTTGTATTTAATTTATGTTGATGATAAGAATGAAAGGGTTGTTTTCAGGGACCATACACGGGTTGTAGTATGAATCCTGCTCGTTCTTTTGGTCCTGCATTATGGAACAGTGATTGGACTAATCAATGGGTAAATTTTTAATTAAATGATTTATTGTATAATATATAATTATATATTACAATATATATTTATTTATTTATTTATTATTGGGTTAGTAATTAAATCATTGCTGAGTTTGAAAAGCCACCTGTCGACAAAAGCTGCAACCATTCACTTGTCCCCCAAAACCCAATGTATATATTACGTATTTAATATTTATTTGTTATAATATATTACAATATATAAATAATATACAATATATAATTATATTATATATTAAATTACTATAGTATGATATTTTTATTAATTTATTACAATGCTCTTTTAGGGGTTACGATTTTTTTTTTGTCTAAAACATAAATTATCTCTTTTCCCAGATAATAATATTGTTAACAAATTAACTTAAATTAGTCTTCCCTTTTCTTCTGAAAGTTCGATTTATGGTTTCCCATAAATAAACAATTTTAAAATTTAGTTATTGGTTAATCAAATACTTGATATTAGCTAATCGAATTTTATTTTTAGGTTTATTGGTTCGGACCAACAATTGGTGCATTATTAGGATCATACGTTTATCAATTATTCTTTTTAAACAAACCACGAATAAAATATTATAATGAATCAACGATCGTCAAAATGTAGGATGGAAATAATTGAACATAATTTTTGATCGTGTCAAAATAAAGGTAAATATTTTTCTATATTATCTACGATTAGTAAAATTTCTATGCACTAAATACACGAAACAATTTTATCTCAGATAATTATTGTACGTTGGTATAGTCATTTTCAAGATGAAATTTCAACGTAGTATTGGTTTCTTATACTAGATGGCATTGTTACACACAAGGCTTCAAATCATTGATTATTTTTTTTTATATAAATAATAATAATAAATAATATATAAATTAATATATATTTTTTTGTATATTTATATAAATTATTATTGATGATTATTAAAAGTATATTAAATATTTTTTATTTGTTATAAGTTTAAAGACTACGTCGCATTTACATTTCAAATTGGTCAACTTCATCGAACACCCTTTCATATAGAAAATAAACCCATTTGGAAAAAATCATAAGTTATAGGAGAACAAAAAGTTTACAGTTGTGAAAACTCAAAGAACGATTAGTATACCTGTCATTATTCATAGAAATGAAGGGTTGTAGTTAGAATGAAAAAGAGTCAGTAGTTTACGTTTGTTTTATCATAAGTTTTAACCCCTTTCGTATGAAACTTTATCGTGGGATACATAATTATTGTTGTTTTTAAATTTATACAGAAACAAAGATAATAATAATCAAAAGAATTATTATTATTATTATTATATCATACTCGAATGATAATTATTATATTTGAAGTTAATATTCATATCAATGAAATTTGATGAAAATTTTCTGTACATGTTTTACAATAATTTATATGGGGATAAATTTATTAAACATAATTGCGCATTTTCAATAAATGTATATATAGAAATAGAAATATATAGACAATTTCTTCTCACGTTGTATTTATCGATTAGTCGTAGAACGTTCTGGAACATCGAGAAGCGCCCAAACGGCTGCGACCCGAAGATCATAAACTTTTTTTTTTCCTCTTTTTTTTATTTACGATACGTTACGTAAGAGATTTATTTCGTTTTTTATTTTTTTTTTTTTTTTTTTATTATTTATCATTAATCATTTCGGTCTACTCAATTTATAATTTTCGTATAATATTTTATCAGATAATTTCTTTGAAAATTTTATTAAATTTATCTAATAGATTATTAATATTATTATATTTTAAAAATTTATTTATCTTTAATAAAAAATTCCTTTAATTTGTCTTCAACCATTATAATTTTTTAATTGAAAAATATACTTCGATAATAAACGAAGTGAAAAATGAAAAGAGGGTTTATTTTACACGAAATACTTGAAAATTGTATTTTAAATACAATGCTAGTTTATAATTGCATATAATTGCAAGACTTAAACGTGGCTTATTAAAAATAATAATTATATTGTTAATAATAATATTATTCTATATAATATTTTTTATTTTAAATTTATTACTATATTGACAATATAGACAATATTTGTTTGACTAATCTTTTTACTTCAAATTAAAATTGTTACATCCACCTTTGCAAATTTTATTTTACAATAATTCTTATTAAACATTAGCCTTTATTTTATTATCGAATTGTTGTACAATTATTTGCAATTGATATTAAAAAAAAAAAAAAATAAATAAATAAATAAATTTTCAAAGACAGTTAGTTCGATCAATAACGAAACAAACATTCGTGAACTAACCGTGTGTGTTCTTGAATGTAATATAAATGAAAAATAATAAATTAAATCATTTTTTCTAGGTTACCTTTTGAATAAGATGATTGAAAATAATTCGACCGGTTCTTTCAATTATGTTTCTATGAAGTTGATTCTTCATGCATAAACCGTTGAAACTCACATGCAGTTAAAACATGTAAGACACACGCAACGATACTTCTCTCTATCCTAGATTCTATATTTAGGCAAACTTTGCGGTGTTCTACAAACGTGTCTGCTTCTTTACGTGTTATCGTAATCTACTACAAAAATATATTATTTTTCTTTCAATTTTTGTATGCTCATAATCTTAATCTTCAAAGATTTATAATCTATGTTTGCATAACTTATCGTCAACAGTTTAAATCATTTGATTGAAACAGAAAATAAATGGTAAATGTATGATCCACAAAACGTGAAAATAAAAATACTCTGATAAATAATATTTTATCATCCTTTCAGTTAAAATTGTGTATACACTTAACCCGACATTATACATTCCCTTTTCGTGAGAATATTTTGTTGTTGTTAAATCTTTAGAATCTTTTCATATACAAACGAGTACTATGAACTCTTACATCTTATTATGCATAACAATAAGAATATGAGAATAATATTACACTTGGTTACTCTTTTATTCCCACACCAACAAAATTGCAATTCATTTATTCACCATACATCAATTTAATCATAAACTTATATATTACTATATTATTTTTTGTAAATAAATTTCGCAAATATGTACAAGGCAAAATTATTGATCAACCTGTGACGAATTATTATATATCTACCATGCTAAATAAAAATAATTTATTCAAAAAAAATAAAATAAAAAATAGAATGTAGATACACTTCAAAAGGAAAAGATAAAAAAAAAATAATATGATTAGAACGTAGTAAACATGGTGGGCCTTGAACAAGGCGCCTATGTTATTCGAGATACCTAAAAATAACGTTTGCATTACTGATTCTGTTTAAAAAACAACGTGCGATAAAAAGGTCGCGTGTGGTATGGCAAGAGGAAAATTTTTTGTTTTTTTTCTACGCATCCATCGAAGGTCATTTTAGGATGCTACGCAGTTTTGAATTCAGTGTTACGGTTTAACATTCGTTGTGAAGGGAAAGGGTATACGAATTCCCTCCCTTCTTTCTCTTCTCTCATCCTGTTTATCCTCTCAGGTCATTCTTTACGGTTTTGAAAGTATGTGTGTGTAGATATATCGATGTAAAAGCAGCTGTGCATAGCTGTGTGTGTTTGTTTGTATGTGTTGTTTGTTGCGTTGTATTATGCTGTTGTGTGAACTCAACCTTCTTTCTTTCTTATATCAAATAGAACTCGTTTTTTTTTTTTTTTTCTATTCTAACGTATCGTACGGTATTTCTATTTTCTATATTTGTTCGTATTATATTTTAAACAAATTTTAACGTTTTAAAACGTCGTACATACAAATGGGTCATTTAGAAATAAAATAAAAATATAGGAAACAAAAATTGAACATTATCGTGATGCAATACTTATTGTTTAATTATTTCTTATTAGAATATTCGTACATTATGAAAGATTTTTTACATGAAATCTCGAATTTTCTAGTAACTTTTCTAGAAAAACATCAATTTTATTTATTTACCATTAGAACAATTTATACCATTTAATGTTATACAATGTATTCAATGTGGAAAATTTTAAATCGCGTTTTAGTGAAAGTGAATTTTGGAATGTTTATTTTCGAAATTTCGATAAATGTTTATCATTTTTAACTTATCTATTAGAAGATACATTAAATAACAATAAAAGGAAACATTAGTTTTGTATTTATCGATCAAACGGTATATTACGAAAAAAGGAAAAGAGAAATTAATAAATCGAAGACTATTCTAGAAACGTCGTAGTAAAACGTCCTTCGAGAAAGGGAATTGCGTCGTAGTACTGGGTTTCGCCCTTTTTTAGGCTACGTGGAAACTACGCATCGGTTTCTGGCCCTGGTCACGTGAACAACCGAAAGAAAAGTATGAGAAAGAAAATGAATAAGAGAGAGAGAGAGAGAGAGAGAGAGAGAGAGAGAAAGAGAGAAAGA